CAAGGCAAAGATTCAGGGTAGGCTTTTAAACGATCGGTAAGAGTCACGGGCATTTTTTTGCGAGTTCCAAAATTTCCATGCAACTTGCCATGAACATCCTCAATAAAAGAATTGAGAATTTTAACATTTTTTCTACGAGGAATATTCAGGGAAGTCTTAAAGATCTTTTAAATGTGGGGAACATTTCCATGTCACTTGGCATGAACATCATCAATAAAACAATTGGAAATTTTTACATTTTTCCCAAGGCAAAGATTCAGGGTAGGCTTTTAAACGATCGGTAAGAGTCACGGGCATTTTTTTGCGAGTTCCAAAATTTCCATGCAACTTGCCATGAACATCCTCAATAAAAGAATTGAGAATTTTAACATTTTTTCTACGAGGAATATTTAGGAAAGTCTTAAAGATCTTTTAAATGTGGGGAACATTTCCATTACACTTAACATGAACATCTTCAATAAAACAATTGGGAATTTTTACATTTTTTTCAAGGGAAAGATTCAGGGAAGGCTTTTAAAGGATTGGTAAGAGTTTTTACATTTTTTTCAAGGGAAAGATTCGGGGAAGACTCTTACAAGATATTTAAAGGTGACGGACAGTGCCTTCTGCGGTTAGGGATATTCCATTCCGCCCCAACACAGATAAATGCAAGAAGAACATAGCTGCTACAAAATATCAATGTAAATCTAAAACAATAAATTTAAAAAAATCGAATCATTACACATTTTGGTGATAAAAATAAAAAATGATTCTATTTATTCTTGTCGCACATTTCTGATACGGAGATTAAGTAGCAACAGTAAAGCAACAACAAATAAAAATTATTAATAGAGCGAACGCGTAAATGTTGGCTTTCTAAATTTTTATATTATTATTATTATTATTTTATTTGATTGTTTTTAACCAACATAATCCTAAACTTTTACAGTTTAGCTTTGGGGTGTTTGTTCTATCCTGTAACAGATGGTGTCGGACGATAATCATACAAAAACCCAATTGCCCAGAAAACCCCACAAAAACCTCAAATGCCCATGGGTTTTTTGGGTTTTTTATACAAAAACCCGGGTTTTTGCCAACCGTGAACTTGTACTTTTCATTAGTGCGCGTAGTGCGCGTTTATTTTTAAGAATGAATCTCGAAAATTTCATAACACTTTTACTACTTACTTGCTTCACCCGGGAAATATCGTCTCCTATCACTATTTTCAAGCGGTAGAATCCCAACAGTCTTTTGGATCACCTAAAAATACTGGCATTCTTGAAACAGTAAATAAAAAACACTGGCAACAGTTCATAGTTCTTGAAACATCGCCGACAAAGACGGACTCAACTGACCACCCTGTATATGAGTAAAACACAAAGTGTAAAAATGTAAAAATCAAAATACAATTTTTTGTAATTTTAATTTTTAGACTGCTTGATACATACTTTACGCACTTAAGGCACCTCTCCCACTTGAGACATTGCTAGTGCCAAAGACATCAGAGATATGAATTAACACTTGAGTTCTGAATAAGCCTCAAGACTGAAACACATCTGGGACGCTTGAGACACGCGAGAGCTCCCTGTTCTAGGTATATTCAGAGCAAATACTCCGGGCGCGAGTTTTTTTGGAGCAAAATTTTCGAAATTCAAATAAGAATCGAAGATACAGCAATTTGTCACCCTCTCTCAAAGATCGGGCATTAGATATTGTCAATAAAATGGGACCCCGGTCGGAATCCCGAGCAACCCCCCTGAAATGGATCACAATTGGCACGTTTTTAATTGTGCACTCGGTGTACACGAGGGGCAATTGAGATTATCAGGGAAGTGGCTTGCGGTGCGTTCTACGTTATCGAAAGATACGCGACGAGACATCGCGGCGGCGGTTTTTGTTTATCGCAGACGTCTAGATAACAGACGCCCATTCGACAAAAACTTTTGATTGTTTTTCGATAACAAAAACAAGCGGAACAAAAACCTTGGTGGAAGAATGCAGGTGAATCTTATCGTAAAGGAAATAATGTTATCTGGGATCAAGTGTGCCGATTAAGTGAATCATCACAACTTATAATGCAGGTGCTTTCATTTATATGATAATTAAACAAAGCGGCGCGTTGTAGAAATCTACGTGGAACCCGACTTCTTAAAGGTTCACGAAATGCTCCGGAATTCAACTGCACACCTCAGTTTTTTATATATATAGAAGGTATAAAACATACATAACAGTCCGCCATTTTGTATGAAACAGGTATAAATATCAAAAAAATACCTGAACCATCTTTTTCATCGTCCATTAAACAAACAAATCGCTAGAGCCACCCTTGAGCCTAATTACGAAGTGACCTTAACGCCACGGACTCGAAAATCAAATTGGAATTGCTTACCTGTTAACATCGCTTTTCACATTTTCTTTAATAATAATCCCCCCTAGATCCATGGGGCCATTTACTTCATTCTCCAAAAAAAATACCACAATCACCTACACAAATTAGTCCACAATAACAATTAGCGAAAATGTACAGTTGGGCGACGAAAGACGGGACGAAACGCGACTAAAATGAAACCCAAACGAATTTGAACACGATTCTTATTTATAAAAACGTACTTGGATCGTTTATTAAGCCACAAAATTCACTACACGTTCCCCTCGCACGTACAAATTCTGTATGAAATCTACAGCATCTTTGGTGCGCTGAACTCGACAATAATCTTTAAGCCGAAAGCGCGACTCACACGCTAAAAACGGATCACACCTCCACCCCGAGACTGTCGGGCCGAAATTTGTGGAACTTCGCCTGAAATGTTAATTTCCGCGCGATCGACGAAGAATCAAAAAGTTAAAAGGACGCCTCGCTTTAATGCAACACGAAAAGGGAACGTGAGGATGAGCGAATTGTGCTGGTTAAACGCGACTTTTCCACCGTAAATGCCGCAGTACTGCCAACCTCGAGTAACTAAAACACCCAAAATTGGTTCAATCATTTTTTTTTTATTAAAAACTAGAATTACACTTTACAAGAGAAAATCTACCAGGGGCGCACTTTACTTTGAGTAGCGTGCGACAACATCCACGTGTTCCTCTCCTTCTTCACCATTTGCATTTGCTTGTGCCGGGGGTGCTTGTCGCACAGCACGAACAGCCGATTGAATCGCATTATGAAATAGCACGCCTTGCAGCGACGTTTCAGTATTCCCTTAGTTTTAAACGAGCACGTTTGCGTTACGAGCGGGCTGACTGTCGGAAAAACACTAGCTGGTGGTTTCGAAAGCAAGTGAAAGTTGCTGGTCGGTACGAGGAACGATGGTCGGATTACCGCCTTTACTAGCGATTGTAATAGAGAATTCATGGCTGTAAATAAATCGCGCTCTCATAAGAGTAATAGTCAATTAAATGAATACCTTTTTTTAGAATTGTTTGGAAAATGTAAACATTATGAGTTTGGAATTTCTAGGTTAGGATATTTTGTACTGGCTGTGGCTAAAGTAGCTGCCCATGTGTTTACCTTGCCGAGTAGAATAGTGGGTGTACATATGAATTGTTGCCTAATATCCTATGAGAAAGAGACATAAAAGTCTCGCTAATGGAGAAAAATCACGGTTCCGTGCATTTATTTTACCTATTAGTAACCATTAATGGTTTAGTTTTATTCCATCTTCGACTGATGTTCCTCCAGTTTACTGAGCATTCCTTCCTGAGAAAAGATACCGTGAGGTCTTTGGAGAAGGTGACAATATAGCGCCTAAAATAAAAAGGTTTGAATTAATACTTCATTCAGTGTTCTGTAGGTTGTTTTATGAGTCATGTTTATGTGTTTTATTTTCAGAAACCACTCAATTACTTCGTTAATGCAGATCCATGCTTCGGCGCAACAGGCTGCCTTCTACAGAGTGGGTGTCCACTATTAGCACCACGAAACGTGAAAATGCCGGTCTCAAACGAAGAGAAGGAAAGCAGCTCCACAGTACAAGCCTCTGTTGTGCTGATATTGTATTTGTTCATGATGGTCTTCCATGTTTCCGCCTCTTTTAACAGAAAATTATAAATTATACAAAAAATCACGTGCTTATCATAAATTCTGCTAATACACACAGAATTATAGTACATTATTTACCTTTTCTTTCCATGCGGTTCCATCAATGTGTGTATTTCTACTAAAGTCACTAAATATAGAAAGTACCGCAATCCATTGGGCTCGTATGTTAAGAGAGAGAACGCATGATTTTTGCCCAAAAATGGCGGAGTTTACCAGATTCTAGTCACTTTAATGTTAAGGATTGTTCTATCTGTTTGGAGATATCTGCATATATTTTTATAAAACATGACAATTCTATAAAGTCAGGTTAGGAAAAATGACAGCTATTCAGATTTTATTTGTCAATATTTTTAAGTTGGCAGCAAATTAGCCCCAAAATGGCGGATGATTGCGGTACTTTCTATATCTAGTGACTTTAATTTCTACAATATTGTAGAACCAAATCCACCAAACTGTGACAGTACTAAAAAGTACTCGCTTCGTCGTCATGGCAAACACACGAAACAACTGAACACGGCTGGAGCGCTTTCCATATACTAAGCGAGCTGATTGGCTAATACCGAATCATCAGTGTAGCCAATCTTAGGAATCCAAAACCAACTGCCGGTTCTTCAACTGACCGCGGTTCCTACCTGCTTTTTGCAACCGGATCGATGTGACCAACCACAGTTACACGCGAATACGAAGCGAGGGTGATTGAATAAAAGCAAAAATTGCATGTATGAACCAACAATCGCAAGAAAATACTAGCAATCGCAGGAAAAGTAAAAATAAATTTCCTTCATGGTCACTACACGCTTTCATACAAGCGCGATTTTAATGTGCTAATGAATGCAGTTTTATTTGTACAATACAATCTACATAATATTACGCAATTATCGTATTTCTGATTAAATCAAAACCAAATTATCTGCCAAGTATGTATCGATTCTGGTGGCACCACGAACCAACCTGAAGTTACATTCACTTAAAATGGAAAAACAAAAAATGACTTTGTTTTCCCATTTGGGTTGGTACTACCTCAAAAGCGAATGTAACTTCAGGCTGGTGCACCACAAACAGAAATATTCAAATTAAGCAATCCTCGAGGTAACCATCCATTTACAGAACTAGTCCTCTCTCTAGTCGCAGAAGATTATGTCACATTCGCCTTCTTCTTGTGCTTCTTACTGTCCAGATGTTGCTTAAATTGTACCTCCGAATTCAAAGTGAGATTGCACGGGTTGCAATAGTAAAACCCGCTCGGGGTCCGAAAGACAGACAGATCCTTCTTGGAAATGCTCGGACACGACAAGGTGGATAGTATCGTGTTGTCATGATGCGGATGGGGTGCTAAAAAAATAAAAGTGGGGGGTGAGTAAATTTCCACGTTCAAAGGACCAACCTTCCACCGGCGACTGCGGCACCTCTAACAGCTTCATCTTCTTCTTGTGCTTCGATCCGTTCTTGTGTATCTCCAGTTGTTGCTCCGAGGTTACGCAGACGTTGCAAACGTAACATCGCAGACCGTCCTGGCGCAGGTGACGTTCGATTTTTATCTCCTCGGGTATCACGAAGTCGACACCGAAGCTGTCGTGAGGTTTCGGAACGACCGTTGACCTGCACAGAACGCTTGAACGATGTGAGAATCGATTTAAAGGCACTCACGTTCTAATCCAATTGCCGAAGCCGTCGTACTGTCCTCGCCCGGCAGGCGGCGCCGCACCTAAAATGACCCTAAAACCTACATTAAAACAAACGGCTCTACGTTAAGTACATAGAAGTGAAACCTTCTGTGGTTCCTACTGCTGTAGTGCGATTCGGCGTGCAGCCGGCCGGTCAGAGGCAGATCACAAGGTTGACAGTAGAAATATTTGGGATCGTGATCTTCGAACTGTTTCTCGGGGGGCTTCGCCTTCTCGTGCAGCGGGGTTCCGGTGGTTTCGGCGTACTCGATCAGATACGCGCGCACCTTCTTCATGTGTCGCTTGGAGTCGTAATGCAATTTCGCCATTATGTTACTCGAGTGTTGGCACTCGCACAGTTTGCAGAATAATGGTTGGAAGAGCGCCTGCAGTTCGGCGGGTAGGGTCGGATCGCTTAGGTGAGGAAACGTGTCTCTGTCTAAAACGAAGGATAGAGCGAGACCCTAGCAAACACGAACGTTACATTTTTGAGTCGAGGCGCTAGTCTTCGGTTTCTCCTTGGTACGTTCGACGTGCTCCTGAATTTGAGATATCGTCTTGTAGATTACTGTGGTAGGGTCCTCGGCGTACACATTTTGAAGAGGTTGAAACAGGGCATTCGAAGGCGAGTTTGTGTCTTCGGTTTTGGCTTGTTTTCGAGGTATTATGAAGTTGGTGGAGAATTGGGGGCCTAAGAATACACTTACAAGACATGTCTCCTAATAGACCGATAGCACTTACCCCTTTTAAGATTGCCTGAGCTATCCATTTTGCAAATTACACAAATCACAACCGCCAAAAGATACAACAGCCCGCCATGTTTAATTTGATCGAGTGTGACGTCACGATCATCAGCTACATACAGTGTGTGTCAATTTATTCCGACTACTTGGCCAACTCAAGGCTCAGTTACTTGTAATTGCTGATTTGATAAACCGATGACTGAACTCAAGCCATCGAAATGAATATGAGGGTGCTAATAGAAGAAGTGCTACTTAAAGTTACACTAAGGCCGAAGAAAAGCAACTTGGCAGCGTTGCATCAGTGTGACATGACAGTTGCCTTAACCTCAAACATTTCCAAAGTCAAACTTTCGAAATGGTTGACGAAGGTACCAGAAAAACCTTAAGCGGCATTCCCCTTTTGCAAACGAAAGCAGGCCCCAGAGACAAAGAGCTATGGATACAGCGGCTAAAGGAAGAGTACCAGTCGCTCATTAAAGTACGGCAAGTTCGCTTAACATATGTTTCGGTCTCTCGACATCTCCCTTTCAGTACGTTCAAAATAACAAAGAGGCCGACAACGACTGGTTCCGGCTGGAGTCCAACAAGGAGGGCACGCGATGGTTCGGTAAATGTTGGTACATTCACGACCTACTCAAGTACGAGTTCGAAGTTGAATTCGACGTGAGTTATCTCGCGAAACCGTTACCTTAGGTAATTTGCGCCGTTACAGATTCCGGTAACTTACCCGCATACCGCTCCGGAAATCGCGTTGCCAGAACTCGACGGTAAAACCGCCAAAATGTACAGGGGCGGAAAAATCTGCCTATCGGATCACTTCAAACCACTCTGGGGTCGGAATGTGCCCAAATTCGGATTGAGCCACGCGATGGCACTCGGGGTAAGTCTCGCTCTGATTTGAGTTGGTTGTCATCGTAGCGTTTGTTTGTAGCTCGGACCTTGGCTTGCGGTTGAGGTACCAGATTTGATCTCGAAAGGGATAATTACGTATAAGGAAAAGGAACCTGAAAAAGCGACATAGTTTATTGTTTATTATAAAGAAGCTGCTTGTTTTTGTATTACATTGTAACTAAAACTATTTACATTGATTTAACAAAAATTGCCTTATATTTGAATTGCAACCCTTAATCTGCCATGCCATTTATTTTTCTCTCTCTTGCTCTGGGCCCTCAACAGACTTGCGCCCAATTACAGAGTAGTCCGCATAATGCTTTTTAGAGGTGCCTCTGCAGGTCTTTCCCAAGATTTAATTGAAAAATCCAGTGAAATAATTGGATTCTAGCTCAGAACAAATTGCTCTGAGAATTCTAAGGCCAAAATTTGTTTATAAATAATCGTATATTATTAATATTGATATTGTTTAAGAATTATTTAGTTAATTATGCGTAATTTTGTTTAATAAATTGCGTTTTGTTTTGATTTTTGTTACAAAGATAAGGAACATCTGGCAATTTGTCAGTATTATCTCTGGTTGTTGCGATAAGAGTTGTTTTTCGCTGCGTAAGTGCTAATTAGTTTTAAGATAAAGGTCATAGTTATAGATCTTAAGTCCTAATATTTGTTCAGAGCCCCAGTTTGTGTGTGCCTCTGCAGGTCTTTCCCAAGATTTAATTGAAAAATCCAGTGAAATAATTGGATTCTAGCTCAGAACACATTGCTCTGAGAATTCCAAGGCCAAAATTTGTTATATTGATTTTGTTTAAGAATTATTTAGTTAATGATGCGTAATTTTGTTTAATAAATTGCGTTTTGTTTTGATTTTTGTTACAAAGATAAGGAACATCTGGCAATTTGTCAGTATTATCTCTGGTTGTTGCGATAAGAGTTGTTTTTCGCTGCGTAAGTGCTAATTAGTTTTAAGATAAAGGTCATAGTTATAGATCTTAAGTCCTAATATTTGTTCAGAGCCCCAGTGCAATGTAATTGGAATTTTTATTCTGTATGGTTTCTGGTTAAACAAATAAATAAATAAATAGTTGACCATCCCATAGCCGACGGGCTGGCTGACTGGCAGCACATTCGGGCCCGTAGAAGAACGCTTGTAGAAAGACGAGGAATGCAGTCGACTTTAGGCGTCCAAAAGATTTTTAGAGCTCAAAACGCTATCTCTCTTTCTCATTGCGCCAATAGAAGCTCGAGCTATGAGAAAGGTGCCCCAAAAATTGAGTGCGACTATTTTGTGGAGGGTTTTAAGCGAAATCCACCAAAATGCGAGTTGCGGGACGTCCGAAGTGGGTACCGACAAAGGGAATGTGGTAGACTGGTGGAGTCAAAACTGACTAATAGAATAGGTACTGATCTGCTACACAAAAATGAGCTGAAGGCCCTTTGATCTCACACGTGGGCTTTGATAATTTTTTACTTATACGCGCCATAACTGAAGATCATTTTATAATTGTGATTGATGAGAATTTGTCTCTGGACTTTTTTGGGTCCTGCAATTAAAAATGGATTATCGCGAGTATCTTTGTCAAGAATTACATAATATTGTATCTGGGTCGTTAAGGTGCTATTAACCAAATTGCTTTATTCCGCCCTCCGAAATTGGCAGTCTATAAAACGCGCAAATCATTTTCCCATTCTGAACAGTCTTTAATCATGTTTAGTGCAATACTCTTCGCCGCACTTCTGTCGTTTTCTGGCGCGGGGAAGCTTCGTAAGACATTCCGATTCTCGTCGCAATTTCAACTTTGTTTTAGCTGCCAATCTCAAGGTGTGCAAACGTACCGATCCCAATATAAATGAGTGCTTCCGTGATGCTGTTCAAGACTCGTTGCCCAAAATCAAAGCTGGTAAGCGAGTAAGTCGGTTTTACCTCACCCGAAAGTGCGCTTTTAGGTATACCCGAGCTGAATTTTCCACCATTTGAACCCTTTGAAATTCCCAGTATGTCGATACAAGCCGGCCACAGCGCGGTACAAGTCGTCCAAAACTACAAGAACTTGAAGCTCCACGGACTGTCCGAGTCCATTGTCGATGATGCTAAGTACACAGATCTCCCACTAAAACTTCCACTCTCTCATTTTCAATGACAGGTTGGAGCACTCCGAGGACGGTTTCAAGGCGGAAATGGACGTCACAATTCCCACTGTACGAGCCGAGGCCGACTACGAAGTCCACGGACAACTACTTATGCTTCCGATAACCGGAAGCGGAAAATCCAGCCTATTATTCAGTAAGTGCTCGGAAACTATGCTCAGTTGTGTACACCCAAGGACTTTTGCAGAGGACTCGAAAGCCACGATCCTAATGGTCGGCAAAAAAATAGAGAAAAAGGGCAAAACGTACTTGGAGGTGAGCGAGCTGAAGGTCGACTTTGTACCGAAGGTAGGAGAATTCCACTTCGACAACCTTTTCAACGGCGATCAAGCGCTCGGAGATTCCATGAACAAGATGATCAATGAGAACTGGAAGGAACTCTTCGAGGAGATCAAGCCTGGGTTTGACGAGATTTTCTCGAAACTATTCCAAACCACTGCGAATAGTATATTTACCAAGATTGCGGGGGATGACATGTTTCCGGTTTAATTTTGAATGAGCGCGTATAATTTTGTAGCACTATGTATAATGTTAAAATGTTTCTGTATTGTTCTAAGGTACGCGAGCCACGAACATCCAAGTCTTTCCAGAGCACTCACAGCAATGGAAGTTTTCCTAAACCTCACTGTTCACGATTTCCTTTAACTTTCTTATAATAAGCTTAGATTGACAGGAGAAACATTTTTTTCTCCTATTCTCTTTTGAATACGATTTTCCAACTGTTTGCACTTTGTGTATTTAAATCATAGCAAATACAAAGATTTTGTGTCTCTCTTCTTCTTAATATTACAATGATAGAACTAAAGACCTGCATGTACTGTTTGCCCAGAGCGCAAAAAATGTTATGATACGCCCCTGGTAGACAGGGATTCCGTGGCGGTCATGTACACACAGCCATTACAAACATAACCTAAAATTCAAAATGTTGTGAATTGAATTAGAATTTTTACTCGTATTTTGTAACATAATGACGTTAATAAAGACCGTTTCATCGAAAGTGTTCCACGCTATTCAAAACGTTGACATCGACGAGCTGGCAAAATGTACCGAACAGGAGATACGACCGATCCTACCGTGTCTCGTTCGGATGAGCCTAATCTCTCCCTTGGACACCTCAAAGAAATGCTCACGCCAAAAGATCGACATCCTCACGATAATTTCCGGCATCGAGTACGTCAATTCCATCGTCGCACTACTCTCAATCGACTTTCACGCGCTCGAGTCGGACGTGCGCAAAGAACAGCAGCTGCGCCAGAAGAGCTGCACCACGCAGCACGATTCCATACTCATAAGCAACCTGCCAAACGGTCTCGCCTTGGAGTACGAACGTTCGGACATGACGAGACGTCTGCGACTCGTACTGAGCGAGCTGCTCTTCATTCAGTCGCAGATACAGGACCTCGGCGATAACGTCAGCGAGCAGGAGTTCTACATGAAGTCGTCCGAACTATTCGACAACGACATTTACATCGAGGAGATCTCGGACGTCGTCTGCATCGCGCTCGCCGAACTGCCGATGCTGCTGAACGTGCAGAGCATGGCCGAGACGCTTCTGCACGTGCATAACGGGCCCGCGATCATTTGCAGGGTGGTCGCGAACTTTCCGGATTCGTTTCGTGAAGGTTGGTACGTGACGAACTCGAGAACCACCGTTTTAGAGTGTTCTTTTTTGCAGTGTGCACGAACTTGATACAGAGAGGCGAGAAGCAGGAGGAGAACGCGCACAGCACGATCCGTCTGAACGCGATCGCGATGTTGTGCCGGATGAATCCGTCGCAGGCGCTGTCCGTACGGAGCAAATGCGTCGAGCTGTGTCGCATGCCGGCGCTCGCCATCACGCTCTCGTTGGAAAACGCGCAGAGCGCCGGTTCGGTGCAGGACAGCGATATGGTCGCGTTCGTCTCGGGACTGTTACTCGGAAATGATCAGAGTATTCGGTTGGCTCGTGACTTCGTGGGCGAATTTGTCTTAATTGTGCGCCTTGCAGGAATTGGTTCGCGCTGTTCATACGTACAGGTCACAAACGGAAGGGGGAGGTTTCCAGCACGTCCCTACAGCTGTTACGGGAACATCTACTGACTCAGCTGCAGAATATCATGCACGTCTGCAAAGATGGCGAGTTGCCCGATCATTGGGTGGTCCAAGCGTCTGCATTGCTACGTTTATATTGCGCCCTTCGGGGGATTGCCGCTATCAAGTGTGTATCTGCCCTCCCCCCCCCCCCACTCCTCTCTTGTCCATTTGCCATCATTGTGTAATTTGATTTTTGTAGGTTTCAGGATGAGGAGGTCAGCTTAATTGTGCAACTCCTCACATCGCATCCGAATCCCACGCCTGCCGGCGTGCGATTCGCATCGTTGGGGCTATGCATGCTTATCGCGTGTCCGTCTCTCGTCTCGCAGCCGGAACTTGAAAAGCGCAGCATTGATTGGGTAGGTAGTTGAAGGGATAGCAAGAGGTAAATGTCATGGTACTGGTCGCCCGTTACCTTTCGGTGGCCTTGGAAAGCAGGTCAAGGTGAAATTCAAAGGTCATATTTTATCTTCAAGGTCATATTCGTACTTTTTCGTTCAGACTTCTCAATCAAAAGTTATAGACTAGAAACGAATTTCGAAAAAAAATTCTAAGGGCTGTAACTTTTGAACTAGTAGCCCAATCTTGGAACTGTTTGAAATTATGGATTCTACAGGCCATATTCTATAAGAAAATTTTTTTTCCGGGTCTATCTGAGACAATTTTTTTTTCGGGGCTCAAAAAAAGGCAGTGTATAACCTTCCTTTTTTACCAAAAATCGACTGCACCAAAATTTCTCGGGAAAACACTTTTTCTTATTAATTTTGGTGCGTAGAATCCAAAACAATTCGTAATTTTTCGATCAGACTTCTCAATCAAAAGTTATAGACTAGAAACCAATTTCGAAAGAAAATTCAAAGGGCTGTAACTTTTGAACTAGTAGCCCAATCTTGGAACTGTTTGAAATTATGGATTCTACAGGCCACATTCTATAAGAAAATTTTTTTTCCGGGTCTATCTGAGACAATTTTTTTTTCGGGGCTCAAAAAAAGGCAGTGTATAACCTTCCTTTTTTACCAAAAATCGACTGCACCAAAATTTCTCGTGAAAACACTTTTTCTTATTAATTTTGGTGCGTAGAATCCAAAACAATTCGTACTTTTTCGATCAGACTTCTCAATCAAAAGTTATAGACTAGAAACCAATTTCGAAAAAAAATTCAAAGGGCTGTAACTTTTGAACTAGTAGCCCAATCTTGGAACTGTTTGAAATTATGGATTCTACAGGCCACATTCTATAAGAGAATTTTAAAAATGGGGTCATTGACCTCTGATAACTGAACGTCGCAAAATGGGGGAGGTATTGAACTTTGATAACGTTGAAAATGAAATGACATGACAAAATTAGACCATTGACTTTTGATGACCTTGAGAATAAAACATGACCCAAAGAATAGGGTCCTTGATTCTTGATAACCTTGAAAATAACAAAAAAGGGGCGACTGAACTTTGATGGCCTTAAAAATAAAATATTACATTATAAAAATTGGGTTATTGACCTTTGACGACCTGGAGAATAAAACGTGACCCAAAAAATGGGGTTCTTGACCTCTGATAACTTTGAAAACGAAACATAACATGTCAAAAATGGGGAGATTGATCTCTGATAACTTTTAACGCAATAAAGGGGTCTATTGAACTTTGACATCTTTGAAAATGAAGTGACACTATAATAATAAGGTCATTTTCCTCTGATGACCTTGAAAATGGCATACTACACCTCAAAAAACTGGTGGTTATTGAACTTTGATAACCTTCAAAATAGGGCTATTGACCTTGAAAATGAAATAAGATACGAGAAAAATGAGAGAAATTGGATTTTGATAACCTTGACAATAAAATATGATACAAAAATGGGGTCATTGACCTTTAATGACTGAGAGTCATGGGACTATTGCCGTTTGATGGCCTTGAAAAGTAAAAACCATGGCACCCCAAAAAAGGGGGGGAGCGGTTGACAGTTGGTAACCTTGAAAGTGAATTGGCAACACAAAAATGGGGCTAATGACCTCTGATGACCTTGAAAACGTATGCTCTTTAGTTTTACTTGACCTGGTCACAGCAAAGTGGCACGCGACCTCAAAGAAATCGTAATTAAAATTAGCGTCAAATCAGTCCAAGTCTAAAATAATACGAAAGGATTACGGGTGTATAAAATTAAACTCGAAAATTTTTACAAGTTCTGAAAGGGGCTGTTTTAGGTACAGTGGCTCGTTCGCGAAGAGGCGTACTTCGAATCGACAAGCGGCGTTTCCGCGTCCTTCGGCGAGATGCTGCTGCTAATGGCGATTCACTTTCACAGCAATCAGCTGAGCGCGATCTGCGATCTCGTATGCGCAACGCTCGGTATGCGAATACCGATTCGTCACAACAACATGACGCGCATGAAGCTCGTCTTTACGCAGGAGATCTTCACCGAGCAGGTCGTGACTGCGCACGCGGTCAAGGTGCCGGTAACGGCGAATCTCAACGCGAACATGGCCGGCTTCCTGCCGGTCCACTGCATACATCAACTGCTCAAGTCGCGCGCGTTCGCCAAACACAACGTGAACATCAAGAGCTGGATCTATCGGCAGATTTGCGCGAGCACGTATCCGCTGCATCCCGTGCTGCCGTTGCTGGTCGAGGTCTACGTGAGCAGTATTATATTGTCGAATCCGCGCAACTTGGAGGTGACAAACAAGCCGCTGACCGAGAACGAGATACGGCGCGTCTTTCAGAGTTCGATCTTCGGCCAGTACTTCGACTCGAAACGTTCGGTTTTCAACATCGAGTTCGACGCGCAGCACGAGGACGTCTACGTTAACGAAACCAGTCTGACGCCCCAGCTGCTTCTGCTGTACTATCTGCTGTTGTACGAGGACTGTCGATTGACCAACGTTCAGGGCCCGAACACTTCGGTGAAGAAAATTAAAATTTACAGCGCCGAATTCATGTCCGAACTACCGATTAAGTACCTGCTGCACCACGCGCAAAAGGACCAGGTGTCGTATTCGGGTCTCTTCGGGCCTCTGTTGAAGCTATTGGCCACCCACTTCCCTCATCTGACTCTGGTCGAAGATTGGCTGGACGATATGTCGTTTAAGAGCGGTAGCAAGGCGAGTTACGTGAGCGAGCTGACCGTCGTCGAGGCCTTCAACGCGCTGGAGGTGAACCCATCGAAATGCGCGCGGATGCTGCGCTGCCTTCTTAAGATGGAGGCGATCGATATGTGGCCGTTTGCTGAGGTCTTCACGCAGTTTGCCAGGAAGATTTTGGGCAAGGACGTTCCGCGCTACGTTCAGGATTTGTACAAGGAGGTTTGGTTGAGGTTGAATACGGTGCTGCCGAGGAGACTGTGGGTGCTCACCGTGAAGAACGTGGTCTGGAACTTGCACGGGCTCGTGCGGAGAGACCTGGCCGACGATCCACTGCAGGTAGGTCCGTGGCCGATTGCGCGAATTCGCCACTGTTCGTTTTGGCAGGTGATGCGTTGCGACGAGCGGATTTTTCGATGCGCTTCCATGTACGCCATCGTATTGCGAGTGTTGCGCGCGAGCTTGGCGTCTTCGAGAAGTCAGCTGTATCAGCATCTGCAGTCGAATCCGAAACTCGATCAAAATGGTCAGGTGGTCGCCGATTCGGACAGAGAAGAAATGTGTCGTGCACTGGTCGCAGCACAGGTTTGTATCTAATCTGGTTCTCTCTATTTCTGTAAAAAAATGTCGCGAAGAATTCGTCCAGGTTGAACCATATGTGTGGCACAGGGTAGGCGTCTTTTTTTGACGCCGAATTGCGCACTGGAGTAGAAGCTCGATTGCGGTACTGAGGGTCCCTGGTTGCAATCCGGGCTTTGGCATAGATATTCGTAAATGTATAAGAGGCTGGGTTGGTAGAGCAGCCTCGTCTACTTAAAAATAAGGGGAGAGTCTGGCTTCTCTAACGTGTTTGGCCATACCTCCTCCTCTTTGCCTATACTGGGGTCTGTGGGAAAGTTGTAATGTTGTTGTCCAAGTATTGGTGACCTTGACATTGATTATTTTACACAGCGCCCCAAGGGTTTTTAGTGGTACTACGGGCTATGAAATTGTTAAAGTTATTCTTTATCTTGAACAGATTCTTGTATTCGCTACCCCGTATATTATCCATAGGGGCTGTTTATTGTCTTCTGGGACCGTAGTGAAGGTAGCAGCCAAAAAGTAGCAGCCGATTTAATAGTTTCTATTCAAAATAGGGCGTGGTTTTCAGGGGAGTGACCTGTTTGCAGTGACTACACACTGTTGCCACATATTAATTCGGCTGCTACTTTCACTACGGTCTTCTGGGGCCTGCTGGTAACGCTTTCTGACCTTTCTAACGTCCGGCTTTTTATTATTGAGTTCGTTTTCCCACCATATTTCATACCCCCCAGATCCCTTGTGCTACGTTTTTCTTCAAAATGTGCAGCCCTAAGGATTCTCGTGCCAGTTTTCTATTCAGGATTATCGAATCTTGTTTTCCTGTCGAAGATTTCATGTTCCACTGACTCCTGGTGTTACGTTGGATGGTCCCTTTCCAGAAATTGTTTAGGTGCTATGGGAACTATACGTTTTCAGGAAGAATGTTGAACCGGTGTCTGGTGGGGTATTCCAGCCAAGCGTCGGAGGATTTTAAAAGGTGTAGCTCTTTTCCTAGGGCCCCTGGGGGTATTCCAAGTTTTATATTTGATCGTCTTGCCCATGTATGGGAAAGGTTTTTATTTGTATGTATTTTAAACGTGTATGACAAATGTCTCTTCGATTATGAATTATAAACCCTAACCTCACTTTTTATGTGACTTGTTTACGTTTTCCATTTGGGGCTCTGTTAATCAAATCAAGTGCCATGCATCGTCGAGATTCTTATTCTAAATACAAAGAAGACCGTAGGCATCCTTCAAGAAAAAGGCGAAGATCTCCTTCGCCTCAGGCATCCTCGTCTTCGAAAGAGAAACCACCAGACTTGCAAGCGATTATCAACATCAACAGGCACCATTTCAGCTCGTTCCTTCAAAACCACCTGAACGTAGGAAACGCGGACGACTTCTGGAAGTTCTTCGAGAAATACCAAACGATCCAGGCCCACTCGACGGACTCCGCGAACTTCGACAAAACGAATCTCCTAAACGTCAACTTCGACCGGTCCCCGGCTCAGCTGTACAACAAGCTGCCCGTCAACGTACCCGAAGCGTGCTTCGCGAAATTCCTAAACTCGGTCCTCGTCTACCAGGACTTTCAGCAGAAATCGAAATTTTCCAAATTGAGAAAGCTCCGCAGGGCACAGTCGGATCTGCCGATCGCGCAGTACAAGCGCGTCCTGATCGAAATGCTAGAGCGAAATCGCGTCGTGCTGGTCGCCGGCGATACGGGTTGCGGTAAATCGACGCAGGTCCCTCAGTACGTTCTCGAGGCGGGCTACAAGAAGATCGTGTGCACTCAGCCGCGACGTATCGCGTGCATCTCGCTCGCGAAACGAGTGGCGTACGAGACGTTAACGGATTATAAGACGGTTATCGGTTACCAAATCAGGTTTGTATGATTTTTTTCTCTCTCCTTCGGGCTAACTCGAGGGGTGTCTAGTGTACCCAAAATAGGAGGGGACGCGTGATAGGCCTTTAATAGCATAATTTGCTGGAGGTTTCCAAAATTTCTTACGTAGTCAAATGTGGGGGAAAATACCCCCCAGAACCCTTAACCCTCAAAACAAATAACACGCACATCGTAAGATATCTCTTAGTATACACGTGCGTTAATTAATTTTCGTCTGATAAAATTCCTTATCGCCAACGACCAGATGTGCCTTACTCCTAACATCTAAATTGCATAAATAACAAAAGCGAAAGAATTACACATTAACACAATTTCTAAAAGGAAACAAACAACACTGGAACACAAATTCAAATGAGACGAACCAACTCTGTGCTTATTTCGTAAATGATCCCCAAATTTACTTAAATTGAAATATCCTCATATACAGGGTGTCCCATCATTAGTTTAGAAAAAGTTTTCCCCGTCAGTCCGTAGGGAGACACCCCTCAGGCCAGCCCCCAAGCATAACTTTAGGTGACAGTGTTCTTTAATTAACAACCCTAACGTAAGGTTTGAGAAGACGAAACGCGCCGACACGTCAGTCGTTTTCATGACCGAAGGTCTACTGCTCCGACAAACCGCCGAAGAGGAGACCATCAACGCGTACGACGTTATCATTTTGGACGAAATACACGAACGCCATCTGTACGGGGACTTTCTGATCGGAATAATGAAGTGCCTGTTGCACAAGCGCGACGATTTCAAGCTAATTTTGATGTCGGCGACGATTAACATTGAACTATTCAAGAGCTACTTCCAAGAGGAGGAGATCGGCGTAATCGAAGTGCCGGGCCGACTGTACCCGATCGACGTCCAGTACTTGCCGATCATTTACGACTCGTACAAGCAGAAACGGGACCGTTTCGATTGCAGCCCGTACCTTCGGGTAATCCACATGATCGACGCGAAGTACCAACCGCATCAGAAGGGCGATCTGCTGGTGTTTCTCAACGGGTTCGCCGAGATTTCGGCGCTGGCCGACGCGGTGAACGAGTACGGCCAGATCAAGCAGAATTGGATCGTGCTCCAGTTGCACAGCAGTTTGTCGCTGGAGGAACAGGACAAGGTGTTCGATTACGCGCCGGAAGGCATGCGAAAGTGTATCATCTCGACCAACATCGCCGAGACTTCGGTGACAATAGACGGGGTCCGATTCGTGATCGATTCGGGTAAGGTGAACAAGATGATCTACAACAACGTGGGCGGCATCAACAAGCTGACCGAGACGAACATCTCCCAGGACAGCGCGAAGCAACGCGCCGGGCGCGCGGGCCGCACCGGCCCCGGCATTTGCTACCGAATGTACTCGGAGGAGACGTTCAGGTCGTTTGACCCGTTCACCGTCGCCGAAATTCACCTCGTTCCGCTAGAGGCGCTCCTCCTCAACATGATCTCGCTGGGACTGAGCGACATCCAGAACTTTCCGTTCTTGGAGAAGCCGAGCGCCAGCGCGATCGAGGAGAGCGTCGACAAGCTTAAATTCTGCGGCGCCCTAAAGCTCGACGAGGACTATCTCGTGTTAACTACTCTCGGCGAGTCGCTCAGCAAGCTGCCCGTCGACTTGACCATTGGAAAAATGCTGATAATGTCCACGCTGTTCGGCAACGTGAACTCGGTGCTCGCGCTCGCCGCTGTTTTAAGCGTGCAGAGTCCGCTCACGCAGCAGGCCTACCGCAATTTGGACACGCAGAACGCGAGGAAGACCTTGGAGAGCAATCACGGAGATCCGATATCGCTACTGAACATGTACAAGGAGTGGCTTTGCGTCAAGCAGGACACGGTTCCGATGGAACGGCAGCCGAAGGAGAACTCCCGAACTTGGGCGAAGAAGAGAGGTCTGGAAGAACAACGATTTTACGAGGTATGGCTTCCCCCGCGCGAGTCTGGGTCATTTTCAAAATTGATTTAAAACACCCTGTATAACACTTTTTTTGAATAGCTCCCTTCAATGATAGATAGAGAGAACCAGAGTGTACCAGTCAAACTGATAGGTCGGTGCTATGTTTTAATTGTTGTGGAGTGGGACACAAAGCCAGCAAATGCAACGCTTGTATCCCTTATGTTTTCCCTTGGGTGGTTCGTTCATCGATGCATATTTAATCCAATACAGTATACGAAATGGTCTTTCATTGGCTTGCGTCCACACTAGTTTTTCCGTGGAAAGTGGAAAACCGTTTCCCTTTTTGAATTTTTTGAAGATATTAATTTTTTTGGATTCTGGAATTTTTGTTTTGGAATTTCTTAATTCAATACAGGGTGTCCCTTTTTTTCGAGAGGGAAATCATGTACAGGGTGTTCAATTTTCAAGGGAATTTCTGTTATAAAAAAAAAAATAATTTTTATTTCCAACTTTGCTTAAGTATATAGGCGCAAGTGCTCTTTTTGCCTTAAAATGATAAAAATCAAAACTTGAAAATTTTCCGTGGAAAGTGGAAAACCATTTCCCTATTGGAATTTTTTTAATTTAAAATTTTTTGAATTCATTAATTCAGTACAGGGTGTCCCTTTTTTCTCAAGGGGGAAATAATGTACAGGGTGTTCAATTTTCGACACTTCTATTTTTGAATTTATTAATTCAATACAGGGTGTCTCTTTTTTTCAAGAGGGAAATAATGTACAGGGTGTTCAATTTTCGACACGTGGCTAGGGTATTTCCGTTATCAAAAAATAATAATAATATTTATTCCCAACTTTGCTAAAGTATTTTTTTGACGTTTTGGCGTAAAATGCTCAAAATATTGAAGTTTTTGAATTTATTAATTCAGTACAGGGTGTCCCTTTTTTCTCAAGGGGGAAATAATGTACAGGGTGTTCAATTTTCGACACTTCTATTTTTGAATTTATTAATTCAATACAGGGTGTCCCTTTTTTTCAAGAGGGAAATAATGTACAGGGTGTTCAATTTTCGACACGTTGCTGGGGTATCTCCGTTATCAAAAAATAGTAATAATAATATTTATTCCCAACTTTGCTAAAGTATTTTTTTGACGTTTTGACGTAAAATACTCAAAATATTGAAGTTTTTGAATTTATTAATACAGTACAAGGTGTCCCTTTTTTTCTCAAGGGGGAATAATGTACAGGGTGTTCAATTTTCGACGCTTTGCTAGCGTATATATTCCCAACTTTGCTAAAGTATATAGGTGTCATGTGCTTTTTTTGACTTAAAATGCTAAAAATCAAAACTTGAAAATATTCGCTCGCTTAAGAGATACGGGGGAAATAAAAAAATTGCCAATTTCAGAAGGACCCTGTATTGAAAAGAGACAGAAAAATATTTGAAATAATCTGCCGTTTTGAAAATAAGTACACAGGGCGAGGTAAACGAGTTTTTTTGTGTATTTTTTGAATTGTTTGAACTTTTTTTAATCTTTTTTGAATCACTTCAATCTTTTTTTATTACCTTGGTGTGTTATATTTTTGAAGAGAATTTAATATCCTACTTTTTTAGATCAAAATATACAGGGTGTACTATTTAAAATAATGAGGTTAGGTATATTTATTTTGAAAATGGCAGATATTTAACAATCATTATCAAGAAACCTTTTTAATAGACATTTCTCTGTATCACTTTTTAACAAAGAAAGTGGGGCGTTTTCAAATTTTGATTTTACCATTTTCAGTTTGACCCAACACTTTCAATTCCTTTTCTCTATTTTTTGATTTTTTAAAATTTTCCGAATTAATTAAATTTTTGAATTTTTATTTTTTGAAAAATGACCCAGACCTTCTCTGTCTCGCACGTTCAGGTAACCCTACCATTCTTTTTTATCTTTCGTAAGGTAACGAAACTGATCCAGCAATTTCGGGAAATCCTGGAGGACGCCGAGCTTTTATCGAAAAGAGCGCAGGGCGAGCTTTCGAGCGGCGAACGTTCGATGCGCTACGGCGAACTGAAACAGCTGAAGACGCTCAGGCGCAACCTCAAAAACGAGGGTCGCAGCGCCCAGCGCAAACAGCTCAAGTTCCAGCGCTTCGACGTAGAGACCGACGATCGAGAGGCCGGCGGCAAGCTCGACCTTCGAGACATCGAGTTTCGCATCACGAACGACTTCAAAAAGCTGCAAACTCTCCTGGACGACTCCTCGCCGGAGAGCTTCCGGGACCTGATGATGCTCAAGCTGATACTGACGAGCGGGTTGTATCCGCAGGTCGCCGTCGAGGACGAGCACAATTACTCGAAGAGCGTCGCCGAGCGACTGTACCACACGAAGAGCAAGAACTTCGTCTTCTTACGTCCGCTGAGCTGTTTCACGACCAATCCCGAAGTGCTCGAGATACACGCGGACGATATCGACGTGCCGCCCCCGGGATACTTCAGCAAGCGGCCGATCAGCCGAAAGCACCAGCTGCTGGTTTACCAGTCGATACTGGAGACTAAGAAGGTGTACCTGATGAACGTGATGAGGATGCCAGCGATTCAGACGCTGATGCTCTTCGCGAAGACGATCGCCACGAATTTGACGCTCACCAAGTTCGTGTTTGACGAGTTTCTTCTGTGCGACGTCCCCGCCTTTGGGCAGGGCAAGACGTTACTGTTGCGCGCAGTACAACTGCGCAAAAAACTGAAGGAGAAACTGGAGGAGAAGCTCGGGGATGTCTCGGCGAAGTGCGACCAACGCGACGCCTTCTACTTCATCGAGGACCTCGTCAAGTTCATGACGACCGATGTCAGTTACAATATTAAACGACTATTACCCGCGGACTTAAAGGTTATATACACGGACGAATGCTTTCCGAGCCCGGACTCGAACCCGTTCGACTCGGAATATCGCGCGACACAGAACAGCGCGTACGGCGGGTTGCAGGTTACCGAGAACGTCGTCTACGGCTGCTTGGTGCAGGAGGAGTGGGCGTGCATGATCGAACAGCAGATTTCGACTATGACCTACACGTGCGCGAGTTGCGGGGGGGAAATGGCGGGGGTGTCGGTGCTGAACATTATGCAACACGAGGCGAGTTGTACGGTTTCAAAAGCCGAACAGCGGGCAGAAACAGTAGCGGAGCCAGTCGTTGTTAAAGCAAACTCTCAACAGTATTATTGTGATAAATGTGATAAAACGCTTATGTTAGCTCCTATTGATATATTAAAGCACAAAAGGTCGTGCAATTAATTCCAAAACTCTCATTCAATTTGCAAAACATCAAAAACAAAATTAAGACCCTGAAAGAGCGGTTTTTAGGGCTTGTTGTTTTACACATACCCCGCACGCAGGCGTTCGATAGACAATTAAATAAAGAAATCTTAATTATTAAATAATTCAATTGATCTGATCGTAACAAAATTGCGATATCGCAATCAACGGTGCTTTAAGTGTGATCACCTGGGTCACCAGACGATAACATGTCCTGAAACGCCTTAGATCGACGAAAAGAATTCCTCAATTCTTAACGAAAACGTAAAGAATCGCGGTGTCAAAATATCGCGAACAGTTCCCAAAACCTGTTTTGAACCTCCTCTTTTCTAGAAAAAGAAAGAAGACCAAATTCACATTTGCAAATTTTAGGATAGCGCAGCTGCTCAGATGCTGTTAGAAACGTGCTTGGAGACGAAAGAAGACTCCGAAACGCCCGGTCAGCTTCTCGCCCTGCAGGAGGTACGCTCCCTCGTCTGCAGCTACCTTCACCAGGTGTTCATCGTCGATCCGTCTCTGGCGAAATTAATCCACTTCCAGGTAACCTCGCCCGCTTCATAGTCGCCCTCTAGCGTACAATTTTAGGGTTATCCGAGCGAGCTTCTCCCAGTAACGGTCCGCGGAATTCCCTCGGCGCACATCTGCCTCGACTCCCTGCCCGAGCTGATGCAGCAGCCGAGCGTCACGAAGCAGATCTTCGCCATTCAGCTCCTCTCGCAGCTCTCCCTGCAGTACGCGCTGCCGAAAAGTCTCAACATTTGCGTGACCGCCCTGAATCTTCTCTACGCCCTGCTCGGGGGTAAGCAACCAAACCATTGCGCCCTATTTTGGTTATATTAGCAAACGCCGTTTGTATTTGAGTTGTGTCTTTGAAATAATCTAAAAAACGAAAAGAAATTTGATTCGGCTCAAAAAAGCACCAATTTATAGATTAGTCTCATCGTATAGATTGGTAAAAATTTTGTGTTCGCAGCGATCTCACCGAGACAGCGTGTGAGATTATTCAAGGAGATTCTTCCGGCGCTAACGCAGATCAGCGAGGCGTTCCCGCCGTTGGCCGAGGACATCGTTCAGTTTCTGATACAGCTGTCGCGCGTGGCGCTCTCGCAGGCGTCGCTCGCGTCGTACTTCCACGACCATCTCACCTGGGACAGCGAGATAAACGAGAGTGAAACGCGAGAGATTTCCGAGCTCGCTCAAGTCGTTTTTAACGACATTATAACGAGGACTGTTCTGAAAACTAACATTTATAACTAGGTATAAATAATAAAAGCGTTTTTGATTTTTTTTTTTACTTAGTGGCGTGTGATGTTGCCCTGTATGATTCTATTAACCATATATAGTGTGGAAAAAGCACCCAATCCAGTTCCTATTCTTCGCTGTATGTGTTGCTTTTTCATTTTGTACCCGCTGCCGGACGGATTTTTCCTTGAACATGAAATGACACTACACAAGGTGACTTTGAAAATCAAATATGACACTACCTTTGAACTTCACCTTGGTCTACTTTTCAATGTCACTGCCAGGAGGCGACCGACCTTGAACCGGTCCTACTACACTACTGATAACATACATATATATATTGTCGAAATTTGTATTTAGTCCATAACTTTTGATTGAGAGGTCTGATCGAAAAAGTACGAATTGTTTTGGATTCTACGCACCAAAATTAATAAGAAAAAGTGTTTTCCCGAGAAATTTTGGTGCAGTCGATTTTTGGTAAAAAAGGAAGGTAAATAACTGCCTTTTTTTGAGGCCGAAAAAAAAATTGTCTGAGATCGACCGGGAAAAAGCATTTTCTTATAGAGTTTGGCCCGTAGAATCCATAATTTCCAACAGTTCCAAGATTGGACTACTAGATCAAAAGTTACAGCCCTTTGAACTTTATATATATATATATATAAAAATTTGTATTTAGTCCATAACTTTTGATTGAGAGGTCTGATCGAAAAAGTACGAATGGTTTTGGATTCTACGCACCAAAATTAGTGAGAAAAAGTGTTTTCCCGAGAAATTTTGGAGCAGTCGATTTTTGGTAAAAAAGGAAGGTAAATAACTGCCTTTTTTGAGGCTGGAAAAAAAAATTGTCTGAGATCGACCGGAAAAAGCATTTTCTTATAGAGTTTGGCCCGTAGAATCCATAATTTCCAACAGTTCCAAGATTGGACTACTAGATCAAAAGTTACAGCCCTTTGAACTTTATATATATATATATATATATATCCTGGACCTAGACCTCCGGTGCTGCTACTCTCGGGGAGAATGTTGTCTTGGAGGTCTGAGTGGTATTGAATACCCCCCGGAAAAATGAGTGGAAGGGCGATCGAGTCTTGAGCACTTTAACTGGAGAATATTTTCCTGAAGGAGGGTATTCCATACCCCCCAGACCACCCTGTGCTGCGATAACTTTCGAGAAGGAATCATCGCACTTACTACTACGATCCGGTGTAGTATGGACTGCCAGCCTGAAACTTTCACTTTTCTCCCTCGCCCCCAAAGACACTTGCAAGCACAGCCATTCTGTTGAGGTCTGAGGGTATGGAGTACCTCCAAGAAAAATAAGTGGAAGAGTGATCGCTTCATAATATAATGTGCGAGGAAGTGAAGGGTGGGTTAAAGTATATATGAGTGAGGTTAGGTTAAAGTGCTAGTTAGGTTAGGTCAGAAATCTTGTATCAGGAGAATATAATATGCGAGGAGGTGATTCAAGTTTGAGTTAGGGTGCTAGTTAGGTTAGGTGAGGGATCTAACTCACATGAACCAAACTTAACCTTCAAAATGAACACCCATTTTAAGTTCTCTGATAGTGAGGTTTAAGTATTTCTTGTATCACCTTGAATCACCTCCTCACAAATTATATTCTCCTGATACAAGATTTCTGACCTAACCTAACTAACACTCTAACTTAACCTCACTAATACTTTAACCTAAGCTTCAATCCCCTCCTCGAACCTTATATTCCCCTGATATAAGATTTGTAAAAGTTGAAGGCGAAGTAATGCGTTCCCTTTTCCAGCCTGCCCACGAGGCTGTGCAGAGGATGTCGAATACGGGGGATTAAGCCCCCTCTGTTGCAACGGTACTGGGTCCCTCTGTTCCGGTGGAACCCTCTCCCTTACCCGTATAACATAACCATTACCTTGGTTACTCTAGGGATGTACATACCTCACATTCGGCCACAATGGCACCCTGTGGATTCCAGTGAAACCCTGCCAGCCGAGCAAACCTCCTCCTCCCAGGAGCCCAGAAAGGGTTTGTTTGAATAATCGTCCATATAATTCCCACGAGTAGTGCGGAGGTTTCACCTGGGTAGATCCGCTCCCGAAGGAGGGGCCTATAGGGAATTAAGGGTAGTGGATTCTATCTTTGTTTAGTGGTTGTAAACACTCGATCGCTACGCGTTAAGTCTTCTTTTTGCTGGAGGTGTATTCCATACCCCCCGAGGCGAAGGCGATCATGATAGTGCTGGAGAGGAGGGGGGATGGAATACCGCCCAATCTCCAAAAAACCAGATTCTCCGGATTCTTTAAGTCAAAGTTGAACTGAAAATGAAAGGGCGGGGGAGTGAATTGCGTAGGTTGCAAAGAGCAGTGAAGATGTCGAGAGGGGAGATAGTGATAGAAGCAGAGTATAGAGGAGTGGAAGAAGAAATTTGAGCAACGGGGAATGTCGGGGGAAAGGGAGATTCCAATTGTTCCCGCCAACATGGCTCACTCGCATTCACTAAATTCTGCAAAAGCAACAAAAAAACTGACCCCCCTTAACAATTTCTCAAGTGGGGCAAATACGCATGCACAAAATTGCCAAATCGATATAGCTGGTCGGGAATGGGGGCGTATGAAAGATTCATTCAAAAGGAAGATAATTGTTCGTCTTTATCTATTGATCGTTTCAGTTCTGCGGGAGCAGCGCGCAGCAGACGACGGCGACGACTTCGCCTCCGATGAAAAGAACGGCGGCGCCCCATTCCCCACGTTAATGTGTTCCGTTTTCAGCTTCCCAAAGTTCGGTTTCTTTTTTTCCCGCCATGGCCGGTAAGGTGAACGAGAAAAGTTACATCCTGCAGTCGAGCTATAATTTTTCGGAGGACCAGGTGAGAGTCGCAATCTCTGTCGGCGCCGCTCGCTCGATCGCCGCTTTTTTTAGGGCAGCAGCGTCGATTCGAACGAGAATGCCTTCGACGATATGAAACAGTTGATCGCGGTAAATATCGAAGGGTCTTGGTGGTGGATGATGACCGTGTTGCGTTTCAGGAGGAGGAGAACGAGAACAGGTCGAGTCTGCCAAGGGCGAGCTTTAATTTTATTAATTCCATTATTGGAAGCGGAGTCATTGGTGATTCGCGTGGTAAGTTGGACGTTTTGGCTCATTGTCAGCTTTTAGGAATTCCGTACGCGCTCCACCAGTCCGGTTTTGGTTTGGGTCTCCTACTGTTAGTGATGATAGCCTACATTACGGATTACTCTCTGATACTGATGGTGAAGAGCGGACATATCAGTGGAAAGTACAGCTACCAAGGCATCATGGAGGCGGCCTACGGAAGACCCGGCTATATTCTGCTGGGGATTCTACAGGTGGTCTATCCATTGATCGGTGAGCGAGCCGTTTCCACCCGCTCGGCTTAAACTTGAACTTGTAGCGATGGTCTCGTACAACGTCGTCGTCGGAGATACCGTGACCAAGGTCGTTGTGCGTCTAACGGACGCATCCCCCACGTCCATCTTTTCGAAGCGCGAAGTCATCGTCCTGATCTGCACTCTCGCCGTTACTATTCCACTTTGTATGTATCGAAACATAACGAAACTCGCACACATATCATTTACAAGCCTGATCTGCATCGGGACCATTCTTATAACTATCTTCTTCAGGGTTGGATCGATGAGTCTAATAGTGTACGTATCGGCGCTTCCTCGCGGACCACACTCTAACGCTTTATTGCAGGCCCCACCACACAAACGCGTGGAGATTTGCCAACTGGGACATTGTGCCCGCGATGGCAATCATGTCTTTTGGTAAGAGTCTTCTTTTAACCCCCTCCGCCATCTTTATTTTCAATTTTTCCTCGTCTTCCTTACCTGCGCCATCTTGCAGAACTTCAGCTTCTCAATCTTCCTAATCTTGATTTTCATTGAAACCTTGATCTTCCGCTAAAAAGTCGTGTAAAAGAAGGGCGAGAAACTTTTAACTTCACCTTGATCTCACACCTCAAGAGCATTACCACCTTTGAACGGTGAGAAATGTTTGAATTTTGAACGACGACCAAACTTTGGACTTTGACCGACAAGCAAACTTTGAACTTTGAACGGCGACCAATTCTTGAACTTTGATCGGCTAGCAACCTTTACACTACTAAACAAATTCACAGACGATCAATGACACCACACACTGATCCTAAGACCCCACCGCCATTTCGACAAATCGGTCGTTATGACCTGTATTTGGTTTTCGATGTCATGCTGTTAACAATTGACTTCTTTTTTTTGTTAAAGTTACCGTCAAATGACCTTGACGCCAGAAGTTTATTCTTAAAGTCGTAAAAATCAATGTCCTCATTTTTCCCGTCATCTTTCATTTTCAAGGTTAGCAAAGGTTAATGACCCTAAGGTTAAGTGCCCTTGAACTAACCTCTAGCTAAAGCGGAATTGACCATTGAACGTCACCTTGACCTATTTCCAAATGTCAAAGAAGCGGGGTGAGCGGCTAGGTCCATCTTTGAACTTCCCCTGGTCACCAGCCGAGGCCGCGACCTCCGAGGACCTTGAAAATGGAATGAGACATCAAAAAGGAGGTCATTGGATTTTGATGAAATGAGACATGAACCGCCGCGTGACCTTTGAACTTCACCGAGATCTACTTCCTTAAGTCTCCGCCAGGTGGCGAGCGACCTTGAACTGCTCCAGACCCTGTCCTATATGGCTACTGGTACTTATGCTGCTAATAAGCGTTGACCTTGGAAAGTAGGTCGCGGTAAAGCTCAAAGGACAGGCTTTAGTGATAGTATTTAATTTTTGGGGTGTCAAATTACATTTTCAAGGTCAATGGCCCCAATATGTTAAATTACACGTTTGAGGTCATCCCAGGTCAATGACCCCAATTGATGTTGCCTCCATTACACAGTAGATTCGCGGGCACATTCACATCGGCAAGAAAGTCGACCCCCAGGAGGCTATGATTTTTGCCGTCGGGCAGCACCAAGAGTTTTGTCAGGTGAAAGTCTATATGGGCGGCACTATTTTTTGGTGTGTCACATAGGTCAGGGTGAAGTTCAAAGGTCCATTCGGTCATTCATCTCTCTAGGGTGCCACGTGGTAATTTCGTAAAATGAGTCAAAGCCTTATTTTGACCCCTAAACCTCTTTTTCTCTACAAGAATGTCAAAGTGAGAACCAGATCAAGCGATATTTACCCTTCAACTAGTGACCTTTGAAAGTTGTGTACTTTGCATGACTTTGCACTTTACGTACCAATTATAAAGCATTCATGCGGATCGAATAATAGTATGTCATGGACAGCGTATGCTGAGCACTTATGACCAAAGCAAGCGATAGCCATTTAAATCAACTCCATGTATAATTCCATAAGGCTCAATTTTAGTGTTGTCAAAGTTATCTACCTCTCCTCCTGACGAAGAAATTCAAAAGTTGCTAACCGTTCAAAGTGCAAAAGTTTCCCGTCGTTCAAAGTCCAAAGGTTGGTCGCCGTTCAAAGTCCAAAGGTTGGGCGACATTCAAAGTCCAAAGTTTGCTAACCTTTTTCTGTGTTCTGTGGTGGTACATAGAAACTTTAACGATTTTTATTTTTTTGATTTTGATAAGGCATATGCTCGGCTTCGGCGGCTGCGCCGCCTCGCCTCGCCAGTTCAAGTAATCGCAAAACTTGATAATTTTCAGCATTCATGTGCCACCACAACACTTTCCTGATCTACAGTTCCATACAGGAGGCGAACGAGAAGCGCTGGGAGCTCGTGACACACATATCGCTGACAATCAGTCTAGTTATAACAGCCTTATTCGGAATAGTCGGCTACGCCACGTTCACCACCTACGTCCAAGGTGACCTTCTCGAGAACTACTGCTGGGACGACGACCTGATGAACTTCAGCCGTCTTCTCTTCAGCATCACGATCCTCCTAACCTTCCCCATCGAGTGCTTCGTCGTTCGCGACGTCGTCGAGAGCTCGTTCTTCAGGCACGATCCGAACGTACCGATCTCCGACCGAATGCACTACGTATCCACGCTGGTAATCGTCGGCATCAGCTACTTCACCTCCATTGCGACGGACTGCTTCGGGGTCGTGCTCGAGCTGAACGTAAGTTCACTCGTCGCTTACCCGCGCAGTGACGGTTGCTGTTTCAGGGCATTCTTGCGGCGACACCTCTAGCATACGTCCTCCCCGCTCTGTGCTACCTGAGGTTGGAGGAGGGTTACATTTTCTCGAGACGAAAGCTACCGGCCGTCGGGCTCGCGCTGTTCGGCATGGTGGTTACGATCCTGGGAGTGATACTCCTCTGCGCCGACCTCAATGAGGGCGACACGTGCTCGCACGGAAAGGTGATGCCCTACTGCGCGGCGAACTTTACTCTTCGCGTTTAGCTGGGCGATCCATTTTAGATCTAATGCGTCCATTTTGAAAAATCTCTATGTACTCGCTCTTTGAAATATCTTCTTAAGTTAAGCGGAAACCAATTGCATGTGACAACTTGAAAATCGCCAAATAGGTATTTATGTGATACTACCATAAAAAGGGATATTTATAGAAATCGTTGGGTTCTTAGACGCGTATGCACTTAGTAAATGAATTCAGCCATATTTGTTTACCAAATGTGTACATTTATTTTTTACTGTAATTGTTGCGATTCCAAAAAAATTTATCTATCAATTATTAAATGATATTTTAAATGTTGTTGAAGACCATTGACTACTTTCCACAACGCTACAATTTCAGGTACCCGATTCTGCACTGCAATTTGGAACGAAACGCCAGGAAAAAATATGGTTTGCATCAAAATATACTTTTCTCTCATATTGGAGGCTATAATTTGAATTTAAAGTAGACCCATACGATTTTGCCATTTGAAGTTTGAATCGATTTATAAGCTTAACGACCCTTCTACCGCGCAGTTTCTCTGTTCTTGCTTTTGATTTCTACTTTCGGGCTGAGCATAAATGGATTGGGTGGTTTTTTTTTAAATGGAGGGTGTGATTTTTTTTCGTAGGTGCAATCTATCGTCTAGTAGCAGGGGTTAAAATTATTTGGTGGGGGTTTCTTTTTCATTTTAAATAGCGGGAGGGGATATTGTTTAGCTTTCTTGTGTCTTTTCTCTCTAGATTGTGCTATTTCCTAACGTAACTCGGTATGGGTGCGCGCGCATTAGTTTTCATTTTCGGTAAAACGTATCACTTTGCTCCGATATTCCTTGCGTGCATTGGGTGATTAATTGAACGTCTGGAGATAATACAGCATTACAGACCCGCAGATTGGGTGTCGAATTATGTGGAGGGAGTGAAATCCGTTGGTTCTATTGCATGGTCGTAATTTTATATATATAAAGTTCAAAGGGCTGTAACTTTTGATCTAGTAGTCCAATCATGGAACTGTTGGAAATTATGGATTCTACGGGCCAAACTCTATAAGAAAATGTTTTTTCCCGGTCGATCTCAGACAATTTTTTTTCCCGGCCTCAAAAAAAGGCAGTTTATTTACCTTCCTTTTTTACTAAAAATCGACTGCTTCAAAATTTCTCGGGAAAACACTTTTTCTCACTAATTTTGGTGCGTAGAATCCAAAAAGATTCGTACTTTTTCGATCAGACCTCTCAATCAAAAGTTATCGACTAAATACAAATTTATATATATATATATATATATATATATATATATATTATAGGTCTGATCGAAAAAGTACGAATCGTTTTGGATTCTACGCACCAAAATTAGTGAGAAAAAGTGTTTTCCCGAGAAATTTTGGAGCAGTCGATTTTTGGTAAAAAAAGGAAGGTAATACACTGCCTTTTTTGAGGCCGGAAAAAAAAATTGTTTGAGATCGACCGGGAAAAAACATGTTCTTATAGAGTTTGGCCCGTAGAATCCATAATTTCAAACAGTTCCAAGATTGGACTACTAGATCAAAAGTTACAGCCCTTTGAACTTATATATATATATATTTTTAATAAAGAAAAGAGGAAGAAGCAAGGAAACAGAAGCCGAACTAGAACAATTACAAAAAAACAGCAAAATCAACCGATCACCGCCCACAACAAAGACAGAAGAGAAAAAAAACAGCAGAAAAATCCGAAAACACGAAAGAAATTAAAAATATGATGATAACCATTAACAAGAGTATGATAGAAATGAGAAATGACATCAGAAAAGGAATAACGGAAATGAAAGAAGAGTTTAAAAAGGAAATGCAGGAACTGAAGAGGCAAAATCAAAAGAAGGAAGAAAAATGGAACAAAGAAAAACGAGAACTAGCAGAGAGAGTAGACAAACTAGAATGGAGACTGGAAAAAGAGGAAAGGACGAAGCAAAAAAATAATGTTATAATTAAAGGAGAAGGAGCAAATAATATTAAGGAAACAATGAAGGTATTGTTGTGAGCAACATTCTTAAAAAGGGGGCAGTGCAACATTACAGTACAATTGTTGATCACTTTCAGAGTGGGAAAAAGGCAGGCCTTAAGAACTACAAATCCGTGTCTTTACTAAACCATTTATTTATATACTATACATATTGCCTTCCGTACAGTCGCAACATTTCGATCACCAGAAGAGGCTGCAATTAAGACACCGATTAATCGACAAACTTGGCATATTATACCTACTTCATTATCGACAGTTCCGGCATTCCGGGATCGGAGCCCTTCTTGAAACCTACAATTATAGCGAGTTCGGTTAGAACGGTCGAAGACGACTTGACCGAGTACCTTACCCATATAGAGAACGGTGGGTATGAAGGCGTAGTGGAAAACCGTCTTCGATAGCTCGACCACGGAGGACAGTCGTTGCAAGGTATCGTTGGAGAGCATTGCCGAATCGGAAAATTTGGAGAGGTGACAAAAGTTTGGTTATGAAATTGTTTGGTCGCGTTCGATCAGCGGTCACCAGTGGCGTAGACGTAGAGCGACAAGACGAAACCAGTCGAGAAATTATTCTGTTGCTTTGAATTTTTTAATTCTTTACCTTACTCAGCTTCATACGGGTCCTTTTCTTCAAGTTATCTCCATTCTTTTCAAATTCGACAGTCGTATTTTTCCATTCTTTTGTTTCTTAAAGTTCAAGTTTCAAGATTTTTCCTTTTCTTCAAATCCATTTCTCGGATTCTTCTGTTCTTCAAATTGTTAGTGTCAAATTTCCTAGATGCGTAAGATATCTTTAAGATTTATAACCGAATCTTCATTTTTTAGATCTTCAAATGTTTATCAAAAATTGTCATTATCAAGTGATTTTTGACCAATATTCTTCAAATCTTCTTCCAGTTCATCTTCGTCATATTTCTGAATTTTCGAATTTGAAGGCTATTCTCAAATCTGCATCAAAAAACTGTTATCAAGACAGTTCTCTATATATCTCCTACAAGTCTTCAAACTTTCTTTTCTCTATAAGCCTTCTTCGAGTGATCCTCAAGTGCCTTTTGCGCATTTTTTCAATATACTTCAAATCTTCTTCCACATTCTTCAGCTATATCGCCGATTCTTTGAGATTTTGACCTACACAATTCATATCGTCTAGAAAATTGAAAAACGCACTCGTGTGTCAAAAATTATATTATAGCGCTTTCTGTCTTTAGACACAAGTTTCTTCTATTTTCTGATCTTCACATTTTTGAATCTTCAAATACTTACACTATAAATTATCTCGACCATTCTTCGTTTCTGTTTTTGGCAAATTTAAAAGAAAGTACGAAGAGAGGGGGAGGATTATCGATTATGTATTTGTAAATAATGAAAAAGACTCGTTACTACGTATCCGTTTGGCTATAGGCTGCGTCCAGGGCCACAGAGACGTCCGCTTGCACGTCGCTGTCGCGTAGCTTTGTCTCCCGCAACATCGTCATGATCTGCAATTACAACCGCGACTAACGCAACGGCCGGCGTCGCAACGCGTCTTACCTGCGGCGAGTACTGCTCCACGGCATCCAGTAAAGTTTCGGGATAGTTCGGCGAATAGTAGCGCACGATCTCCTCCGGGAAGCACGCGTTGATTATCGTAATGTATTCCATCAGCCTCGAGCCGGGCTCGGCCTGTATTTCCTGAACCTTCTTTAGTCCGCCGCTGGTGACGAATAGGCGACGCGCCTTCGGGTCGTTCGGTAACACCTGAAGCACCACATCATTTCCATGGGTTTTTAATTTCAAATCCGAACCTTCTAGAACGTTATCGAGTCGCCAGAAAGTTACAAAAAATTTTGTAGGCGGCGCACGGATCGGGTGTGGAGGATACGCATTTTCGGTCCCTCGAAGCTTAATTAAAAGTTATACGGGATAAATCGAAATTTTCGTACGCAAAAACCGAAGAAAAAATTGTCAAAAATCGATGGCCTTGGGGATTTCAAAAATACCCCCATCGCCTTATACAAAAATGCTCGGTTTTCGCTGTACGGGTAAATGTTCGTTTTTTAAAATTTTGTGACCGTTTTTTTGGGGTGTCAAAAAATTGATACAGTCTAAAAATCGCATTAATTTTTAAATGTCCGGAAATTGAAGGCAGTTTGACGCTCTGTCTTAAAATGCGAACCTACAAGAAGGGATTTACTAAGGAAAAGCTTGGCACGATATTGGTCCTTTTTTGAGCCGAATCGAATTGCGGTTCGTTTGTTTTCGCTTTAACAACAGTCAAGTAAATAGAACCTACCTTGCTAAACTGCCCCAGCACGTACTTGAGGATGTTAATAGGAGCGACGTACAGTAACGGCTCGAGGGCGCTGAGCATGATGCACTTCTGCAAGCACTGCTTCAAGGTGGTCTTGCATTTGTACTTGAGATCCTCAGACGACGTGTTCGCCAAGTAGAAGTTGAGCAGAAGAGGGAACGCATTTGCGATACCAATCGCCTTGGCGTGCTCCGGGCTGTGCTTGCCAATCTGTCCGAGTGTCCATACCGTGACCGCCTGGGTGGCGTCGTCGCTGCTCGCTCTCAAAATGCCCGTCAGCGCGTCCACTCCGTTGCAGCCCAATACGGACATGGCCAACTGGTCGCTGTGACCCGCGATGTACCCCACCGCGGTAATGCAGGGCACCTTCGATTCCTCGGACTGATGATGCAAGGCCTCCATTAGGGCCCCGATGCCGCCGGTGTTTACGACGAGCTGCGTCAATTCGAGCGAGTGCTTAACGATGTCGCGCACGAGCGAGGCGGCGTTCCGACGCACGACCGGGCACGCGTGCGACATGTGGATGAGCACGCTCGGGAAAATCTCGGCCTCGACGACGACCTCGGCCAAATCGTTGCTGTGCGTCGCGATGCAACTCAACGCGTGCAACACGTTGCGCTTCAATTTCTCGTCTTGATTGCCGAGGTTTCGCACCAGGTGGGGCACGGCGCCGGCGTCCACGACGTTCTGCGCCAAATCCACGCCGTGCTTGGCAACGTCGGCGATGGCGCTCACCGAGACTTGCTTGATCGTTAACTCCGGCTCTTGCAAGCACAGGATCACCAAGGGGACCGCGCCTATGTCGACCACGTTTTGCGCTAACGCCAGACTGTGACGCGCAATGTGCCCGATGGCCCATACCGCCCCCTGCTTCACCTGCAATGGGTCGTTAGTGCACATTAGCCAAATAGTGACAGTAACCATCGGTTCAAAATCCTCAAGGCACAACACCAACGCCTCCAGTCCCCCCGAGCTCACCACCACGCTCGCAATCTCCTCGTTGTGCCCCGTCAACGAGCGGATCACAAAGAGAACAGCCCGCTTGTAGTACTTCTACAACATTGCGCTAGTGCAAGATCTGCAGTTACCACTTACATTCTGCCTTTCGATGTCGCGCAGCAGCAACGGCAGACAGTTGCGGTTGATGACCTGCTTGGCGAGCCGGACATCGCAGTGTACCATGCGTCCGATCGCGATCGCCGCGCATTGCTGAATTTGCACGCAGGTGTCCGAGAGCAGCGACTGGAGCAGCTCTGAAATGCACGTAAGGGGCCGTTAGTCGCGATTTCGGGAACAAACCGAGCGCGCCCGCCTGTCTGAGGTACTCGACGTTCTGAGACCGAAGCGCCAGCTCTCCGACCGTTTGCACGAAGCTGATCCTCGCCTTTTGGTACTGATCGAAAACTTGAAAGATCGATCTCGCTGTCATTTTTAATGTCGACGAATTCGAGGGCACTTCGATCGGTGGAAATTTCACTCCAATTGTTGTAAATCATTACTTATACCTCCATTTCCACTCTTCTCCCCCGCCTGTCTGCTCCTCCCTTATTCGCCAATTGATTCCCTCTAACAAAATCTCAGAAATATTAGTCTTGGCTTGCTACGATCCCTAGGTATACGTTCCAGAAGACAATATCTTCATGCTCTCCTTTTCCTTTACCGTATTCTCTCCCCTTCTCGCTCTCTCATTCGTTTCCTCCAAACGTAGTTGCTTGGCTTCAATTGTCGCTTATTTTACTTGCAACTTTTCTTCAGCCATTCGTACGCCTTTCTCTCTCGTTTTTTCTTCCTCTGTCGCTATTTCTCTTCTTCCCCCCCCCCTTTCACTTTTCTCCGCCGCCCCCAAAATGACTTGCAAGCAGAGCGATTCTGTGGGTGACTGTAGTACCAGGGGTTTGAAGGTACCCCCCCCCCCCCNACCGTTTGGGAGCGTGTAGGTGGTGCGTAGGGGAGTATTTTGATATAGGACACTTGGGGTCGGAAATCTAAAATAAGGGTGCCAGAGCAAAATTTACCTTCTGGAATTTCGCGCCTGTAGGTAGGCAACCCAACCGGCCGGCGGTGCACACGGAGCGATCTCAGGCGGCGATGTGTGGCTGACACTTGATCAGAATTTTGTTTAAACCCACGAAATCCAGTCTGCAACGACGCGTATCAAGTGAATAAACACTATGGCACGTTTTACTAACACGGAATACGCGGACATGCACTTCATGTACGGATTGGCAAATGGAAACGCACGAGCTGCACGACGAGCGTACGCTGAGCGGTATCCAAACCGTCAGTTACCCTGCAGACAGGTCTTTCAAGAAGTTCACTTCCGACTGTGCGAGACAGGGCAATTGCAGGTAAGCTGACGGGAGGCTTAACTTTACACACAGATTCGTGATGCACATCGATACTTGGGTCATTTAAGCACCCATTTCGAAAAGTTTGTTTGTTTACACCGACATCCTCCTATTTCGCAGCCCACTAGCGCCCGTGATCGCGATCGCCCGTTGGTAAATGCCTTAGAGGAGGATGTGTTGGAACGTTTCGAGGCAAACCCGCGTACTAGCATTCCGTGTATATAAAGTTCAAAGGGCTGTAACTTTTTATCTAGTAGTCCAATCTTGGAACTGTTTGAAATTATGGATTCTACGGGCCAAACTCTATAAGAAAATGTTTTTTTCCCGGTCGATCTCAGACAATTTTTTTTCCCGGCTTCAAAAAAAGGCAGTGTTATACCTTCCTTTTTTTCCAAAAATCGACTGCTCCAAAATTTCTCGGGAAAACACTTTTTCTCACTAATTTTGGTGCGTAGAATCCAAAACGATTTGTACTTTTTCGAGCAGACGTCTCAATCAAAAGTTATGGACTAAATACAAATTTCGAATATATATATATATATATATATACATAAAGTTCAAAGGGCTGTAACTTTTGATCTAGTAGTCCAATCTTGGAACTGTTTGAAATTATGGATTCTACGGGACAAACTCTATAAGAAAATGTTTTTACCCGGTCGCTCAGACAATTTTTTTCCGGCCTCAAAAAAGGCAGTGTATTACCTTCCTTTTTTACCAATAATCGGCTGCTCCAAAATTTCTCTGGAAAACACTTTTTCTAACTAATTTTGGTGCGTAGAATCCAAAACGATTCGTACTTTATCGATCAGACCTCTCAATCCAAAGTTATGGACTAAATACAAATTTCGACAAAATATATTATATATATATATTATATATATAATCCATGCTTCAAATAAGTCTTCAAGGTTTTAAATCTTGGAGTCGTCTGTGAGGCTTCTACTGGGTAATTCTCACAAGTTGGCAACCCTGCGTCTCTGTATTTTTTTATAACCTCAAATACACATTTCGACCTTACACAAAGAAAATGCCAAGAGCGGCACCCAAAGACCAGTAACACGATGAACCTCTCACTCCTCGTCTTCGTAATAAATCTATTTTTAGTGAACGCGGAGAAAAGCGTCGTAATTGTCGGCGCTGGGGCGTCGGGAATCGCCGCGGCGTCCTTGCTCGCCGAGAGCGGCGTCAGTTTCACCATTCTCGAGGCGGAGGACCGCATCGGCGGACGGATCTTTAGCGCGCGGTTCGGCGAGTCGAAAGTGGACCTGGGCGCCCAATGGAGTCACGGAGAGCAGAAGAATACGATGTACGATCTCATTCGAGATCTCGATCTGGTGAAGCCGAGCGAGTTTAGGAAGAACCTGTATTACTCGGGCGAGGTGTTTGACGTAGCGCTCGCGGATGAGTTGTACCGGCTGTGCAAGGGGATATTTTTGAAGGGCGTTCCGGTCGAGGATGTGTCGGTCGGGCGGTTTGTCGAGGAGAGATTTCGCGAGGTTGTCGAGGCGAAGTATGGCCTCGGCGAGAACGTTACCCGGTTGGCAGGGGAAGTTCTCGACACTTTCATGCACGATGTTTTGGTGCAACGAGGGGCACAGTCTTGGTACGATATATCAATGCGTAACGACTATGATCGCCTGAAGGGTCAGGCGTACTTAGATTGGAAAGGTCGTGGTCACGGTATTATTCTGGACGTTATGATGAAACGGTACCCCAACACCTCGGAGCAGCTGCCAATTGCCGAGAACATAATTTTCAACCAAGAAGTGAGCAAAATTCACTGGAACGGGCCCCCATCCATTCGGTGTGTCGACGGTTCCCAATACTTCGCAAACCATATCATTTTCACCCCGTCCTTGGGCGTTTTAAAGCACGGCCATCGGGAGCTATTTCAACCGGCACTCCCTTCTGCTAAAATTGACGCAATAAACTCGCTGGGAATAGCGTCCGTTTTGAAGGTAATATTGGAATTCACCCACCGGTGGTGGGATGTGGACGATTTCAAGACCGCCACTCTGTGTTGGGCCACCGCCGACTTGGAGCAACTGGCACGGGAATTTCCAAAGGGTCCCATCAAGGTAGTACGGTCGCAAATGTAGATATACTACGAAATTTGATCCGGCTCAAAGGACCAACATCTTGTAGTATATTTACATCGGCGCCACTCTCTGCGTGATCTCAAAAGTGTGAGTTTCAGCATAACAGGTCGTGGCTGGAAAATTTGTGCGAGTTTTACGCCCTCGACGAGAACCCGAACGTGCTGGCCGCCTGGTTTACCGGCGAGTTCGTGCCCGACATCGAACTGCTGCCCGACGATACGATTATCGACGGGCTTACGTTCGCGCTTCGCAAATTTTTCCGACGGAAGTACGAAATAAGCCCGCCCGTTCGTCTTCTACGGTTCGCTCGACCCTAATACGTGTCGACCTTGACTTTCACTTTGCCCTAGGAGCAACTGGAACTCGAATCGTCACTTCCGAGGGGTGTACTCGTACGAAACGCTCGAGTCTCGTCGATTGAACGGGTCGGCCGCATCAGTCCTATCAATGCCTTTAACGTTGGAAAGCGGCGAAGTATCACTTTTGTTTGCGGGTGAGGCCACCAGTCCTACGCATTATGCCACCGTGCACGGTGCGATCGAGGCCGGGTACCGTGAGGCCCGAAGGATCATTCAATTAGATCTGTAGGCGGAGATTTGTATTTATTAGTTATTAAGTAATAAAAGCAAGTGTCCCGTTTGATTTCTGTTTATAATGATAGACGGCCCCCTTGGTCTTCGTTGACCAATTCGTCACTTCCACTTTGCGCAATATGTCCTCTGGATTTACAGCAGCCTCACTAAATCTCTCCTCGTCGTCGCTCTGACTAGAGGAGGGAGCAACAGTGACTCTCTTAGGCTTCGTTTTGCTTAGCTTCAGCCGTTTTGGCGAGTTTTTAAACAATTTTACGCCGCCTTTCTTGGAGCTTGGCCAGATGGGGCCACCGGTCTTGGTGGTAAGTCGCTTTTCTAACTCTTTGTCTAACATCTGCGACAGTTTCTTCGCGACGTGAGCTTGAAACTGAGGTGTAACACCCAAGGTGTCGAATTGGTCGGCGTCGTCCCATCGACGCCTTAGAGACGGTTCAGTAGCCTTATCGATTGGACCCTCTGCAAGTATATTTTAACGCACGTTAGCATCGGAACATTGCTTTTCACCTTGTCCGTTGCTGAAGATCAAGTCGGTCATAAACTCTGGGTCGAGAGCTGCTCGTATCATTCGTTCGCTTTCCTCGTCACTGCCACTGCTATCCATTTCCTCATAATTTGAAAAATCTCAGTCCTCAGGATTTGTTATTTGAGGTTATGTTTATCATAGACATATGTCACATATGAGAGTTAAGACGTCTATGGTATCTATACGTCATGACAATAATAATGTACAGGTCGACTTAAAAGTTGGGACACAACCAAATTGATCACTGAACATTAGATGCTAATATTAGGTGCGATTTTAGCAAAATACAGGGATTACTGCTGGTAAGTTAGAAATCCGTCGACGTGGTGAATAGTTAGTGGGATACAGAGTAGGGAAGTGATATACTAAAACAATACTGGACAAATCGTAAGCTAATTGTTGTAAATGTACATTTTGATTGCTGTATAGAATATCAGAGGTTATGTGGAAAGAGCGCGCGCGTGCATAAACAATCCGTAATCGCTGCAGCAGATAAATAGTTTGAGATGCCCCAACCTTAACAACGTCCTGTGAATATGATTGTCGATACGAAGCACCCTATACATCATGTAGGTTACACAAGCTGCCAACAGAAATCTGGTGGGATTACAGAAAAGAGAAAGAGAGCGAAGATGAGACGGATGGAAATTCTCAGAAGACCACATGTGTTTACCATTTCAAACACCTGCAGTCCACTTTTTTCTTAGAAATGCGTGAAATGCAGGGAATGAGCGATTTTCGGGTGGTTTTTAGGGGTATTAGCAGATCAAATTACCGCGTGGCTTGGGTTGGTCAAATAAATAGGATTTAACATGTGTGTTCATGGTCTTTTGTCTTGTAACCGGCTGAAGTGTAAAGTACGGCTTGTCTTGAAATATTTTGTGATACCTTAATCATTACTGTGTGCTTTTGCTTTGTAATATCAGGTGAGCTATTTGCTTTATTCAATTAATCTATAAATGTGTGTTACTTGAATGTAGATGGTAACCCTTTACTTATGTATTTACTGAATTCAATCACATATATTCAAAACAAGGCAGATTCACCAAAAGATTGAAATCGCAAATCGATATCAATGAGTCTAAACATCAGATCACAATTAAGATATGGCCAATCCTAAACAAACCAAATAGCTGGAAAACTTAACAGTGAAACTTCCACATACAAATTGATTCAATTCAACACTTCCTACCGTTAAATTATAAGCAGCTGATGGCAAAATGAATAATTACCATTAAAACTAAGTGCATTACCTTTTGTTACGGTTACAGCACAAAACTACGAAACTTGAATTTGAAAATTAAAGCAAAATTCAAATTTGTAATAACCTATCAATAACAATAGATGCCGATTATTTTTGCGAAAAAGGAATATGCTATGAGTTCTGCAAGAAATTATCTGGCAGTACTTGGTGGTTGTGACTATAACAATAATTGCGTATGTTTAACACCCAATTGATAGAATGCATGTTTACTATTAATGTATCTTTTTGCCTCTAATAAATGGCATTAGTTATTACAAATACTAAAATCACCTGACTAGGATACGAAAGGAAAGATCTCTCCTCTCCGACTTCTTATCGACGTCGGTTATAATTCCTTATATCTCGAGAACACAATGTCGGGCGTGGAGATTTCCGCACGAGGGACCAGTCACCTATCCCAGGGGTGCGGTATGGATATTCACTAATCTTCACATTATACGCCAGGTGAAATTGCTATTCAACGTTTAAATGTAAGGGGAGTTAAAACCCGATTTGTTTTCAGTCACTTTCCAACCCAGACGGAATCTTTCTAATCACCCTATACGCTTAACAAATAAAGTTGGCAACGTACCGTTACTTTTGTCTTGTTGACGGTTGGCACTACCATTTGTTACACTTTTCATAACCTCAATCGTGTGTTTACTTGCATTTGTAATTTAAATAATTGTAGCTTGTTAAATGGCGATAAGGACATTTGGTGATAAGCCCATAAGCTTCCAACTTGAAGAGAATGGCGAATTTTATTGCGTGGGCTCCGAGGTAAGTACCGAACACCTTCCGTATACCGTGCATTACAAGCTTCCTCCAAGGTGGGCAACTATCTGCGATTGTTCCGGGGCTCACTCTACAAGCGTTACCCCGGCATGTACCGGAGGACAATTACCAACGAAGAACGCAAGAAACTGATCGATATCGGGCTGAGTCAACACGTACTGGCCAGTAGCGTTTCTTTGCTGAGGTCCTCCGAGGTCGAGGACATCATCGACGGGAACGACGAGAAGTAAGCCGGTACGATTGCACCTCGGTCACTTATTTTCGTCGACAGGTACAAGGCGGTGTCGGTGCACACCTCGGACCCGCCTCTTCCGCGCGAAGGCAAAGCGAAAAAGTCGATACAGTGGGTGCCCTCGTTGCCCAACTCCAGTCACCTGGACGCCGTACCCCAGGCGACGCCCATAAATCGCAATCGGGTCTCGAATAAGAAGGTACGGACCTTCCCGTTCTGTTTCGATGATACCGATCCGCAAGCAAACGTGGAGAACTCGGTTAAAGGTGAACTGCTTGTGCCGATACGTTTGGATATGGAAATCGAAGGGCAGAAGTTGCGGGACACGTTCACTTGGAACAAGAATGGTAATTGACGCTTTTTTCCCCCCCTTTCCTCACCACCTAATCTAATACCCCCTATCAAACTAAAATTCCCTATAACGCTCAGGGTACTTGATTGAAAATGGTAAGGGGTCTAATGTATGTACTGAGAGGGGGGGGGGGGTATTCCAGACCTTCCGGTGCTACATTCCCCACAGTCCTTCTTAGGAGAAGATCATTTTCTCCACACAAAAATCATGAGACTCCTCAAGACTAACCGTTTTGTGGCAGATATGGTGACCAGGGGGGGTCTAAGACCCCCTAGCAAACTAAAATTCCCTGTAACACTCAGGGTGCTTGCTTGAAAATAAAAAAAAACTCCCCAAGATTAAACGATTTGTGGCAGATATGGTGACCAGGGGGGATCTTAAGACCCCCTAGCAAACTAAAATTCCCTATAACACTCAGGGTGCTTGATTGAAAATTAAAAAAATCATGAGACTCCCCAAGACTAAACGACTTGTGGCAGATATGGTGACCAGGGGGGATCTAAGACCCCCTAGCAGACTAAAATTCCCCATAACACTCAGGGTGCTTGCTTGAAAATAAAAAAAATCATGAAACTCCCCAAGACTAAACGATTTGTGGCAGATATGGTGACCAGGGGGGATCTAAGACCCCCTAGCAAACTAAAATTCCCTATAACACTCGGGGTGCTTGATTGTAATTAAAAAAATCATGAGACTCCCCAAGACTAAAAGATTTGTGGCAGATATGGTGACCAGGGGGGATCTAAGACCCCCTAGCAAACTAAAATTCCCTATAACACTCAGGGTGTTTTATTGAAAATGGTCTAAATGTGTCTCCTGGGGGGTATTCCATTACCCATTGGGTTCCATAGTTCGATTACAATGTCATTTTCAGAAAGCATGATCGCACCCGAGCAATTCGCCGAGGTGCTCTGCGACGATTTGGATTTGAACCCTTTGACATTCGTACCCGCGATCGCGCAGTCCATCCGCCAGCAGTTGGAGGCGTTTCCCGCCGAGTCGACGGGAATTATGGAGGAATCGTGCGACCAGCGTGTCATTATCAAATTGAATATACACGTGGGGAACACCTCGCTCGTCGATCAGGTACTTCGCCTTCCGAGAGCGTGACGATTTTCTCAACGTTCTTATAGGTCGAATGGGACATGTCGGAGAGGGACAACAATCCGGAACAGTTCGCGTTGAAACTTTGCTCCGAGCTGGGATTGGGCGGCGAGTTCGTGACCGCCATCGCCTATTCCGTACGCGGTCAGTTATCGTGGCACCAGCGCACCTATGCGTTTAGCGAGGCGCCGCTTTCGACCATTGAGGTTTGCGCTAATCCGTATGGGCAATCACTGACGCATTTGTTGTTGATTAGGTACCGTTTCGGGCCGCGAGCGAGTCGGACCAATGGGCTCCATTCTTGGAGACGCTAACGGACGCCGAAATGGAGAAGAAAATCCGGGATCAAGACAGGAACACGCGTAGAATTCGTCGTCTTGCCAATACTACGCCTGGATGGTAAATGCATTGGTGTAATTATGTGGTAGATAGGCTGCATGTAAGGAATTGTACTTAAGAACGATCGTTGCTTGTTGCATTTTTGAGAGTAGTGTAATTACGTAAAATTGATTGATCGAGTAGGTACATAACGTTTGAGGTTTGTTTCAGGAAAGCTGTCCATTGTACATAACCAAAGGTCTAACCATCATTGTAGACAAATTACTAATTAATTCCGCTACTATACTGTAGCCATGCTTTAGTACAAATCATGCATTCACTTTCATTTTTTTATATTTGATTCATACTGTAAGTGCTAGTTTCATGCGATGTTCAACCTATGAGTGTATTCAAGTATTGTAATCCAATAAAGTTAGTATTATCAGGATTCTATCGAATTCCCCCCCCCCCCACACACACGTTAAACTCCGCCTATTTATCAAAGGACTATGCCTGCCTTATACAAGAACATGCCCGGATTGTGCAGTGCTTTAAGTGCCAAAAACTTGGGCATAACGCTTTCGACTGCCATAGTCAACTTCAACGGTTACGCTCTTTACTGCCTGGTAAGAAGGGGCTCTAATACGTCCAAATGGATGTTATAGGTAGGTATTTAAATTAGAAGCACTTGTCATTCATCGTCCACCCTGTATATTTTAATCTAGAAAAATAGTAAGTATAATAAATTCTCAATTTTCAAAAACAACACAAGGGATGATGTTTTATAATTCAACTGATTCCCTTTTTTCTCAAGAGGGAAATAATGTACAGAGTGTTCAATTTTCGACACTTTTCTAGGGTGTCTCCGTTATCAAAAAAATAATATAGGCAAATCAAATCAAAATATTCCCTCGCTTAAGAGATACGGGGGGAATAAAAGGGGTATTTAAAAGAGACAGAAAATTGATTTTAATAACCCGCTGTTTTCAAAATAAGTACAAAGGGCCAGCCAAAAAGTTATCGGTTCTGACCTCATTTTTTTGACCTTGTATATTTTAATCTAAAAAGATACCAAAAACACCTAAACTAAAAAATTCAAAAAAGTTTAATATTGTTTCAAAAAGAGTAAACAAAGATTTTAGAAAATTCACTTTTTTCTGTATTTTTTTGAATCACTTAAATTATTTTCAAATGTCATCCCTAGTACGTGTTACATTTTTGAAAAGAGACTTTAATATCCTACATTTTTAGATTAAAATATACAGGGTGTTCCATTCAAAAAAATGAGGTTAGGTCCAATCTCTTTTTTACCTGACCCCGTATATTTATTTTAAAAATCTTAAAAGTGTTTTCCCGAGAAATTTTGGTGCAGTCGATTTTTTTGAGCCCCGAAAAAAAAATGTCTCAGATCGAACAGGAAAAAAATTTTCTTATAGAATGTGGCCTGTAGAATCCATAATTTCAAACAGTTCCAAGATTGGGCTACTAGTTCAAAAGTTACAGCCCTTTGAAATTTCTTTCGAAATTGGTTTCTAGTCCATAACTTTTGATTGAGAAGTCCGATCGAAAAAGTACGAATTGTTTTGGATTCTACGGACCAAAATTAATAAGAAAAAGTGTTTTCCCGAGAAATTTTGGTGCAGTCGATTTTTGGTAAAAAAGGAAGGTTATACACTGCCTTTTTTTTGAGCCCCGAAAAAAAAATTGTCTCAGATCGACCCGGAAAAAAAATTTTCTTATAGAATGTGGCCTGTAGAATCCATAATTTCAAACAGTTCCAAGATGGGGCTACTAGTTCAAAAGTTACAGCCCTTTGAATTTTCTTTCGAAATTGGTTTCTAGTCTATAACTTTTGATTGAGAAGTTTGATCGAAAAAGTACGAATTGTTTTGGATTCTACGCACCAAAATTAATAAGAAAAAGTGTTTTCCCGAGACATTTTGGTGCAGTCGATTTTTGGCAAAAAGGAAGGTAATACACTGCCTTTTTTTGAGGCGCGAAAAAAAAATTGTCTCAGATCGGTCCGGAAAAAAATTTTTCTTATAGAATGTGGCCTGTAGAATCCATAATTTCAAACAGTTCCAAGATTGGGCTACTAGTTCAAAAGTTACAGCCCTTTGAATTTTTTTTCGAAATTGTTTTCTAGTCTATAACTTTTGATTGAGAAGTCTAATCGAAAAAGTACGAATTGTTTTGGATTCTACGCACCAAAATTAATAAGAAAAAGTGTTTTTCCGAGAAATTTTGGTGCAGTCGATTTTTGGTAAAAAAGGAAGGTTGTACACTGCCTTTTTTGAGGCCCTCAAAAAAATTGTCTCAGATCGACCCGGAAAAAAAATTTTCTTATAGAATGTGGCCTGTAGAATCCATAATTTCAAACAGTTCCAAGATTGGGCTACTAGTTTAAAAGTTACAGCCCTTTGAATTTTCTTTCGAAATTGGTTTCTAGTCTATAACTTTTGATTGAGAAGTCTGATCGAAAAAGTACGAATTGTTTTTGATTCTACGCACCAAAATTAATAAGAAAAAGTGTTTTCCCGAGAAATTTTGGTGCAGTCGATTTTTGGTAAAAAAAAAGGAAGGTTATACACTGCCTTTTTTTGAGCCCCGAAAAAAAAATTGTCTCAGATCGACCCGGAAAAACAATTTTCTTATAGAATGTGGCCTGTAGAATCCATAATTTCAAACAGTTCCAAGATTGGGCTACTAGTTCAAAAGTTACAGCCCTTTGAATTTTTTTTAAAAATTGGTTTCTAGTCTATAACTTTTGATTGAGAAGTCTGATCGAAAAAGTACGAATTGTTTTGGATTCTACGCACCAAAATTAATAAGAAAAAGTGTTTCCCCGAGAAATTTTGGTGCAGTCGATTTTTGGTAAAAAAGGAAGGTTATACACTGCCTTTTTTTGAGCCCCGAAAAAAAAATTGTCTCAGATCGATCCGGAAAAAAATTTTCTTATAGAATGTGGCCTGTAGAATCCATAATTTCAAACAGTTCCAAGATTGGGCTACTAGTTCAAAAGCTACAGCCCTTTGAATTTTTTTTCGAAATTGGTTTCTAGTCTAACTTTAGATTGAGAAGTCTGATCGAAAAAGTACGAATTGTTTTGGATTCTACGCACTTTCTCTGCGAATGAAGCAGTCACGGGGGTGGAAAAAACTGGAGTCAAAATTGAAGTGCGACACCTAATTCCGTGGACATCCAACTGTAGGCACGAAACCAGGGGCGGGCTCCCCATCTTGCAGGAGCGGGATTACGCTAATCAAAGCTCTTCAGTTTAGAATCTATGTGCGATAAATGAGTGGCGATTCAGTAGTCTCCACGTATCTTGTTTTTAGTTAAATTTGCCTACAAGGCCATGTAATTTTCCAACTTGCTTTTAACAAAAGGACTTTATTGCACCAAAGATCAGTCACATCCTGTGTATTTCACCCTTTCTTAGAATCTTGGTACCTGCTCACCTGACCCATAATTCCCCAAACTTGTTTTTAACCTCTTGAAGTCTACATGCTACTTTTTGTGATGTTATAATTTTATGTTACGCATTCACGTCATTACAAACAATTAATTTTACAACACAATTTGATATTAATTTGACGGCTAGTTTTTTTTATTGGTAAGTTCTTTTTTTCCCAACCTATTTCTAATTTGATTCGGTGAACTACCATTTTCAAAAGTTTTGCAATGTAATTTTATTTCGACTTAAATTTCCGAGCTTTCACAATTGCGATCATTATTAAACAAACTTTTCACAATTTGAGTGTTTTATTTTACGTTCCTTCCCTACTGTGCTTCAGGTCATAGCATTTTTACGCCATTTAGGGGGTGGTTTTGGGGATGACGAGCTGAACACATCGGCGCTGGGGTTTCAGACGGTATTTCATGCCTTGTTTTAGCTTGTCTCTAATTTGTTGAACGTCATCCTGTATGGTCCCTGTGCTATAGCCAAGAACAAGCCCGATAATTTATTAGAAAAAAGAATGTTTCGCTACGTCTCCCCGCCGACTTTACATAACACGCAAAGTAGCAATTTCCTTTGGGTAATGTGGTAAACGACATCAGCTTCCGTCATGCAATATGCAAATGAGTTGTTTACTATTATTGCTTTGAAGATCGAAACGCGATAAAAATCGGGGCGCCTATCGCGGGGCGACCTACACTCTTACTTTTTGGGTTTCGCGTCATTTCGAAAAAGGCCCGAAGCGGCGGCGCGAAATTTCTCAACATTCCTTTATCGCACGACCTTTGCCCAATCAGGTTCGGAAAAATATTTATTTACTGACGCATGATCGCCGCGTAACGAAATTTCCATAAATTCTTTCGGTTGAATTTACCCATTAGTGCTTTCCAGTTTTCGGTTGCAATGCGCAAGATGAGTCGCGTAGGTACGTAGCCGTTGACATTGATTTAAACGGGTTTTGAGTAGTAGCCATTCGGTTAATTAGGGATATCGGTGATAATTGCACGATGGTGCTGATGTTAATTTTAAATCTGTGCGTAATTTTATGCGGACTGATAGCCGCTCAACAGCGGAATCCCTGTCCGAACGTCTTCCGCTACGAAAGCAGCGCGCGGGATGAAGTCCACGGGATTATGACGTTCAAAAACGACCTATCAGGTCGATATAGGGTGGAACTGAAGATGGCCCTACCAATACGGACCAATCAGGTGATTATATCAAAGAGAGTTACAGTGATAACGGCACCGATAGTTTTGTAGAAAATCGGGATTAAGAGGTACTCGCCGGTGGAGGACGTGCAAAGTGGCAGAGATGTAATGTTTTACGTTTCATTTCCGACCATCAATCCGCTTCCCGAGGTGGACGAGATCATATTCAACGGACAAGTCTACTGTTCCATGCCACATAGCCTAGGTAACTGAGCCCGAATTTGACCGATACTCCCCCCCCCCCAACTTTTAGGTCCCCAATTTCAGACCTTAACGTTTTTGACCGCCTTTAATGAGTTCGCCATTACTGTAAACGGCCGCCCTCAGCAACCGGAACATTTCTTCAACGTAATTACGTCGAGCACAACAACTCGCAGATCGCACGTGTTCGGTCCCGAACTCTTTGAGTCGATGTACGGCGAATCCAATACCAGAAAACCACCGGCGACCTTATACACCCCAACCACCACCAAAGCGCCGGTAACCAGAAGTCCCGAGCCGCTTGATAATCGTGGCGAATTGTCGTGCGGCATCTCTCAAGACACTCAGCCGCTAGTGGTGCAGGGTGCAGCAACCTCAGAAGATCAGCACCCGTGGCTGGTCGCCATGTTCCACCTGGAGAAAAGTTCGATGTACAAATTTAGGTGCGCCGCCAATCTGATCACAAACAATCACGTGATCACAGGTGAGTACAGCCTCATGTACCGGGTGACCCAATAAGACTGAGAGAACCGTTCGTCGTATGACTTAGAGGTAAAAAAAATAATTGGATAAGTCGGTCATGAAGAATCGCTGGAAAATATTTTCAAGTTCTAAAATTGACCAACAGAGGGCGTAACTGCCATCTTAAATTTTAAAATTGGATTTTCTTTGAATTTTTGGATGTTATTTGGCTACTTTTTCATAAAGAAAATCATTCCATTTGATTTTTTTAGGATTTAGGGTCATAGTGTCAAAACTAGCCCCCTGGCGGAGAAGGATTCAACTAAATTAACTAAAAATTAACTATTAACTATATTGTTGTTGATTCTTGTTACCCAAGGAATGCTCTTTTCAACGATACCAAATTTGTTACAATCGGCCAAACGGTTAAAAAGTTAAAGCAGGTTATTGCAAAAACAATTGAACGCCCCACGCCATCTTTGTTTTTGAAATTAACTGAGTTTTTTTTTTTCGGTTTTTCGATTTCTTTTAAAATGTAGCGATTTTGATGAAAATTTTATGAGACCTTTTTGAGACGATTTCGGATCGATTCCGAGAATTTCGCTACTGGGAAATTCTCCTGAGCGGCTGGGGAGCATCGTCGTCGAGGTGCGCGGGCTCGGATAAAAATTCGCCTTGGCTATACGGTTTGGGTTAGGACGTCGAGGCGCCGGCGCGGGGGGGTAGGGGTAGTTGGGGCAACTTTCGGTAAGGTTAAGAAAATTCCTCCGGCGACCTACGGGGTAGCTGCCATAAGAAGCGAAAAAATCGAAAATTTTAGAAAAAAATTCGTAACTCGAAAACGGCACCGGAACTTTTTTTCGCGCTTTCTGAGACGTCGGGCGACGTGGAGGAGCGTATTTGTGCCGGGGTGCGATTCAATTTCTATAGCCCCGTTTGGGAACCGCGCGACCCGGAGGGTCGCTCTCGAAAAGGTGGTTTTTCGCATTTTCCAACTTTGACGCCTTCTACAGGCCGAACCGTTCGAGTTAGAGCAAAACGTACAATTGCGCGATTGTAGATCTCGACGAGATCTACGAGACGAGGAGTCGCGGGTCGCTCTACCACCCCCCGCAGGGGGGTGAGAGGTGAAAAACCGGAGATTTTGAATAGCGCGTCCCGGCAAAGAGATACGGCGTCGATACCTGCGGGCAAGTTTTCTCTTTCTTTTTCCGTTTACCTCGAGGAGGTAACTCGGACGACGGCGCCGTGGTAAATTTTCTCCCGAAGGTCTGCAAAAGTCACGTTCTGGAAATTTTTTTCTAAAAAAACGATTATATCGCGTGTTTGCCAAGTTTCTTTTATAATTTTTAAACGGTAATTCGTAGGTATGTACTTACAATGGGAAAATTATAGCATATTTAGTTCTCTATTGGAGGGGACCGATCGGAAGGCGATCGGGATTCGATATACGATAATTATTATTATTATTGTTATACCTGCGGACGAAATTTTTTGAAAATTACCAAAACTGAGAAATTGTCTTTGTAGAACAGTGAACAGTGCGAGGCGAGGCGGCAAAGCCGCCGGAGCCGAGCGTATCTCTCATCAAACCCAATAAGTGATAACAAAATTAAAAAATCTTATGTGTAGATTTGGATTGAACAAGTTGAATAGAAATTTTCAAAAAAAGGCACTTTATATAGGTGATGTGTCCAAAAAAATTGTCAATTCAGTCTGCTCAATATCAGTCTCTTATATTACCAAAGCTGAAACTGAAAAATTGTCTTTGTGGAACAGTGAACAGCGTGAGGCGAAGCCGAGCTATGGACCGTTACAAATCAGAGCGAGGCGAGGGGGCAAAGCCGCCGGAGCCGAGCATATTTCTCAGGCGGCTTTGCCGCCGGAGCCGAGCGTATGTCTCATCAAAACCAAAAATTGACAACAACATTTAAAATCTGTGCAGATCTGGATTCAACAAGTTGAATAGAAATTTTCAAAAAAATCACTTTGTATAGGTGATGTTTTCATAAACAATATTCCTCACAAATTAAAAAAAATATCAATTCAGTCTGCTTAATAGCATTTTCTTACCACACCAAAACTGAAACTGAGAAATTATCTTTGTTGAACAGAAAACAGTGCGAGGCGAAGCCGAGCTACGGACCGTTACGAATCAGAGTGAGGCGAGGCGGCGAAGCCGCCGGAGCCGAGCGGATGTACCCTCAAAACCAAAAAGTGTTATCGAAACTAAAAATCTTATGTACAATTATGTGCAGATTTGTATTCAACAGGTTGAGTAGAAAAATCACTTTGTACAGGTGTTGTTTCCAAAAAAAAACAAAAATATTACTCACAAATTCAAAAAAATTATCAAATCAGTCTGCTTAGTATCANCTCGCCTCGCTCCGATTTGTTACTCGGCTTCGCCTCGCACTGTTCACTGTTCAACAAAGACAATTTCTCAGTTTCAGTTTTGGTACAGTATGAAAATTATATTGAGCAGAGTAAATTGACAATTTTTTCAAAATTGTGACGAATATTTTGTTTTTTGGAAACATCACTTATGGAAAGTGACTTTTTTTTGAAAATTTCGATTCATTTCCAAAATACAAAATATTCCACAACTTTGAAAAAATTGTCAATTTAGTCTGCTCAATATAATTTTCTTACTGTACCAAAACTGAAACTGAGAAATTGTCTTTGTTGAACAGTGAACAGTGCGAGGCGAAGCCGAGCTATGGACCGTAACAAATCGGAGCGAGGAGAGTATGTCTCATCATACCCAAAAATTGTTCCCAAAATTAGAAAATCTTATGTGCAATTATGAGCTGATCTGGAATCGAAATTTAACAACTTTGTATATGTATGTGATGTATCCAAAAAACAAATTTAAAATAAATGTTAATTCAGTCTGCTCAATATCATTTTCTTACCGCATCAAAACTGAAACTGAGAAATTGTCTTTGTTCAAACCTCATAGTGCGTGTTGACATCTGACAAACGAAAAACATAAATCATTTTAGACTATTTCTTGCAGTAGTGCGGTAAAATGAAAAGTGCGCGGTAGGTAGGTTCATCTAATTAAATTGTGCAAAAATCGTATTGCGCCGAACATAGATTACATCTCCAAAAATTAATACACAAACGTATAATACCCCTCTTTTTGGCGATATATGTGCAAAATATACTCACTCTAGCGCAGTCTTGAAATGCGAAGCATTTTTACCAACCTATGTAATGAGATTGACCATTGACATATCGATGCTTTTTTGAACCGAATCAAATTTCTTTTCCCGTTTTAGAAAATTGTAACAACCATTAAACAAAAAAATAACAAAAAAAAATTAAAAAAAATAAAAAAAATTTTAAAAAAATTGACAAACGGTAAACCACATAAAGAAACAAAAAAATAATAAAATAATTTTAAAAAAATATAAAAAAAATTTTAAAAAAGTTTTCTATACCACATAAAACGGCGTACGAAAAAAGAATGTTTAGTTTATTAGGCGAAATTTAAAGAAAATGCAATTTTAAAATTTAAGATGGCAGTTACGCCCTCTGGTGGTCATTTTTAGAACTTGAAAATTTTTCCAACGATTCTTCATAACCGATTTACCCGATAATTTTTTTTACCCCTAAACCATACGACGAACAGTTCCCGAGATACGGCCGAGGAACAGTCTTATTGGGTCACCCGGTACAACCGGTATCACTAGCGTCTCCTCCACAGCCGCCCATTGCGTCCGGCATCTGAGCAATCAGCAAACGCTAGCGTACGAAGACATAACGCTGGTGCTGGGCAAGCACAACATCAAAACGTGGGCCACCAAATCGGAAATACGGGACGTGAAGGAGATTTACGTTCATCCCGACTATCAGCAGCCGGCGGACGCCGACATCGCGATTGTTGTAATGGACAGACCGGTGGTGTTCACTAGCAAGATTAGGCCGGTGTGCTTGTGGAGCGAGACCTCTGTGAGCATTACGGGAAGGCAGGGCGTAGTGATCGGTTGGGGACGCGACGAGTTCTTCAACGAGTACGTGCCGGAGCCGAAGGAGGTCAAGATACCGGTCGTCTCGCAAGAGGACTGCCTTCGGTCAGACGAACGATTCCTGAGGCTGACGTCGAACAGAACCTTTTGCGCAGGTAAAAAGCGGGGATCTGACGAGGTCGTGCATCTTTTTCCGTTTCAGGTGCTCGCGACGGTTCCGGCGTTTGCACCGGCGACAGCGGCGGCGGATTTATAATGAGGCAGAACGGCGGCTGGGCGCTCCGTGGCATCGTCTCGGCCGCACTTACCGATTCGAGCACGCGAAGTTGCGATCTTAATCACTTTATGGTGTTTGCGGACGTTGCGATGTACCAAAGGTGGATACAGCGCGTTCTGATTCGTTAAATTAAATTATTTATATGTTAATTAATCCCATTAAATATATTTTTTTGTTTTGTTTACACAAAACGCCTAATATAAAAAATGCGCTACCACACGCACATGCGCGATTTTGCCTTTTTATGAATCGGTTTATCGGTGACAGCCGGTTGAGCGAGAAGAGAGACGCGAGCCGTCGAATTTGCGTTGGTTCCGTTTCGAAGCTCGTAGGCAACGAAAATAAAATTTGACGGGAGTCGTTAAATTTCCGTTGGTTCCGTTTTCAAGTTGCCGCACGGCAATAATGGAAAAGGAAATCGAATCGAAATTGCGAAAAGCGAAATTAACGTAAAGGTTAAAGCGGTTTTAAGACATACATGCAGAGACCATGATAGCGTATAGTTCGTCTGCGAGAATTTCCAACGACCAATTTGCGTATTAACAACACTTTTCTCAAACAAAACCGACAGTAACATAAGTTTCATCGGTGATTGATTCCTAGATCATGATACTGCAACGCACCACTGATTCCTGTGGATAGGTAATGCGTTTAACTATTTTTCTAACAAAATTGGTTAATTGATCGCTGCGTAGGTAATGCAGTCTTCATTGTGTTATTAAAATAAAAAAAAGAAAGAACTTATAGCGTAAAGGCCTCGGGCTGAACGTGACATTACCGCACATCGCATTTAACAAATAAGTAATTTCCATAAATTCTTTCGGATTAATTTATTTTCCAGTTATTGAGGCATCCCACCGCGCAGGATGACTTATAGCAGTTGACATTGATTTCAAGGGTCCCCGAATCAGTAACGATCAAGCAATGGTGCTGTTAATTTTTAAATTATTCGCGATGATTCTACTTGGATCAAACGCGCATCCCCTACCTCGAAACCCCTGCCCGAATGTCTTCCGATACGAAAGTAGTGCAAGTGACAAAATCCACGGAATTGTGACGTTAAAAAACGATCTGAGCGGAAGTTACAAGCTGGACCTTAAGATGATCCTTCCGATACAAACGAGTACGAACCAGGTGAGTAGGTGCAGCGTTGAACGTTCATTTGGAATTGAAAAGTTGCAGAACATCGCGATTGAGAGACTTTCGTCATTGCACGACGCCGAGAGTGGCAAGGACATCGTTTTTTACGTTACCTTTCCACGTTATGATGTCATTCCTGAGGTGGGCGAGATCGTATTAAATGGTCGAGTTCATTGCTCCATGGTCCATACATTAGGTAAATCCGCAGTCGCTCGTGTTACAAGATCTACTCAAAATTTAAGGTTCCCAGTTTCAGTCCTTGACGTTTCTGAGCGCTTCCAATATGTTCAGTGTGGGTGGTATACCATCAGAACGCCACCCCGAGCATCACACCGAGGAAGTTACGCACACATTGGAACCGGGAGGGGGCATACACTTTTTCAACTTTGAAAGCCCAGGGGTGGCAGTACATAAATTGGATACGTCTGACCCGGAGTCCTTCTTCGTTGACTCCCGGTATCCGACGAAAGAAATAATCAAGCCGGAATTAGAAACGCACTTCTTTGACTTTATGACCACTTCCACCACCGAGTCCAACGTTAGATATTCTCTACCGACCAAACCGCCTGAAAACGTGGAATGTGGAATCGCGGAGGATACCCAGTCGCTCGTGGTCCACGGTAAGGCAACATCAGAGGGCCAATACCCATGGCTCGTTGCCATGTTCCACCTACAAGAGAACTCAATGTACAAATTCAGATGTGGCGGAAATCTGATTACAAACAGCCACGTCCTAACGGGTGAGTAGCCACAGTCGTTACGCGCACCTTTCAAAACACTTTCCAGCGGCGCACTGCGTGCGACGTCAGAACAAGCAGGAGACCATACCGCACGAAGACATAACGCTCGTCCTGGGCAAGCACAACATCAAAACGTGGGCGACACGTTCGAAAATCCGGGCCGTTAGGGAAATTTACGTTCATCCCGACTACCGGCGGCCGTCGGACGCCGACATCGCGATCGTCGCGATGGACAGACCGGTTGAGTACACGAGCAAGATCAGGCCGGTCTGTCTGGGAGGCGAGGTCGCCGCGAGCATCGCGGGAAAGCAGGGCACCGTCGTCGGCTGGGGACGCGACGAGTTCTTCAACGAGTACGTGCCCGAACCGAGGGAGGTCAAGATGCCGGTCGTCTCCCAAGAGGATTGCCTACGGTCCGACGAGCGGTTCCTAGCGTTAACGTCGACGAGAACGTTCTGCGCGGGCACTCGAAACGGCACCGGCGCCTGCACCGGCGACAGCGGAGGGGGATTCGTGGTTAAACAGAACGGTCGATGGACGCTTCGGGGGATCGTCTCCTCCGCACTTCAAGATTCGAGGACCAAATCGTGTGATCTTAACAACTATATGGTCTTTTCGGATGTTGGGAGCTTTAATAGGTGGATACAAAATGTTTTAGTTCGTTAAGTACCAAGGACACCGACGGTTTTTTGCTTGAAATTTTTGTGGTAAGGTTAGGAGTAGGGGAAAAATAAATAAGCGAGCATTCGGTGGAATGGAAGATTGTCCTTTTTTTGCATTTTTTTCGTCTATAGAGCATTGCTTTCTTAATGGATTCGGGATGTCCGGATTTGGATCGTATTCAGTTAAATTTGGGAATCATCAAGCATAAATCGCATAAATTTAAGTCGTGTTCGGTCAAGGACAGATTAATTAAACGCGCTGGTTCATTTTTCGCTATAAACAAATCAGCTGTAAACGCCACAAATTAGTGAATGGAAGGCGAGTTCGGACCAAACCAAAACATCGTTGTGCCGTTGTGCTTTATTTTTAACGAAATGAGACCGTATTGTGCCGAACTTGGCTCCGGTTTGCTCGGAAATGATGTATTTTATGTGCCAAGAAGAAACAATTGCCTCAATTCAACCATTTCCGAGCGAGCCGAAGGCGAGTTCGGAACAAACCAAAACATCGTTGTGCCGTTGTGCTTTATTTTTTGTGCTTTATTTTTAACGAAATGAGACCGTATTGTGCCGAACTTGGCTCCGGTTTGCTCGGAAATGATGTATTTTATGTGCCAAGAAGAAACAATTGCCTCAATTCAACCATTTCCGAGCGAGCCGAAGGCGAGTTCGGAACAAACCAAAACATCGTTGTGCCGTTGTGCTTTATTTTTAACGAAATGAGACCGTATTGTGCCGAACTTGGCTCCGGTTTGCTCGGAAATGATGTATTTTATGTGCCAAGAAGAAACAATTGCCTCAATTCAACCATTTCCGAGCGAGCCGAAGGCGAGTTCGGAACAAACCAAAACATCGTTGTGCCGTTGTGCTTTATTTTTAACGAAATGAGACCGTATTGTGCCGAACTTGGCTCCGGTTTGCTCGGAAAAGATGTATTTTATGCGCCAAGGAGAAACAATTGCCTCAATTCAACCATTTCCGAGCAAACCGAAGGCGAGTTCGGAACAAACCAAAATATCGTTGTGCCGTTGTGCTTTATTTTAAACAAAATGAGACCGTATTGTGCCGAACTTGGCTTCGGTTTGTTCGGAAATGATGTATTTTGTGCGCCAAGAAGAAACAATTGCCTCAATTCAACCATTTCCGAGCGAACCGAAGGCGAGTTCGGAACAAACCAAAACAGCGTTGTGCCGTTGTGCACTCATATGTATAGCTTAATACGATTAGTAAACGCGAATCGGATTGTCGGTGACAGCCGGGCGCGTTTTGGTTGAGCGAAAAGAGACGCGAGCCGTTAAATTTCCGTTGGTTCCGTTTTTAAGCGCAGCGGCAACGAAAATGGTTCAGAATAGGAACTTACGGTTGGTGGAAAATAGACGCGAGCCGTTAAGTTTGCGTTGGTTCCGTTTTCAAGTCGCAGACCGGCAATAACGGAGAGGGAGAAGGCAAGGCAGCCCTAGTGTACAGGTCGTCGGGCGAAATTGGCATACACGTTAAAAGGGTTTAAAAGAGACACACAGCGACCATGATAGCGTGTACTTTCGTCTGCGAAAGAAGAGAAATTAGCCAAGCGTTCCTCAAGAAAGTTACGGCCCGTTGTAAATTATGGTGTCGAGTGAAACTAAGAAGTTGATTGTTGAAGATTCGTTGCCGACATTTTTGGTTGAAATAACATAAATAATAACGTAAAACAAATATTACTTCAAGTAACTAATCTCTGTACTTTGACCATTGTTTAAGAAATAAAAAAACAGCCATATATTTCTCTCATTTTTATCAGACACTTAGAACAATTTGTTATAAAATTTACTTTATCCACGAGCTTAAACATTTAGCAACAATCTTTTAACACACGCTCCATTTTTTACTTCGCAAAAGTTACTCAGAAAATCGCAAGGCCGCTGTTTTTAGTTCACCAGCGAATTTTTTTTTATTTTTGCCAAGCTTCGATCAATTTTTAATATTGGGGGTTGATGGGGAATTGTGCCGAATCTAAGGGCGAAGGGCGGCTGAGAGAGAAATCTAGGTGAATTGTGATGGTAAAAAAAGGATCAATAAAGTTACTAGACGCGACGCCTATCTTTTGCCGTTTGTTTCGGCCATTTTAGATCGTCTAACATTACGTGAGCTTTTCGAAAATGTGGCATTTCGGCTGGAAAGAGCGGCGAAGAAAAATAAACGTCATTAGATCACTAACACCCTGACCTGTTACTTATGATGTATCGTACGCAACGAACCAGTTCTCGGCTAAGTTAGCCCCAAAGTATATCGGACCCTTCGTTATCCTTCAGAAAGTTTCCCCGTGGATGTTCGAGCTGCAAAATATGGATGGTAAGTTTAGAGGCACTCGGCATGCTCGGTTTTAATTTTCGGGTTGGTTGGTTGGGGACGTTTAATGGTCCATGTTCTTTTCGATTTCGGCTACAATTTTCTGCTCAAAGATCAGAGCTCTTCATATCTATCCTTTATTTCTTTTGGGTTGGAAATTGTTAGGTTTCTGGTTTGGGTGGTTTTTGGTCTTCATTGTAGGAAAAAGGGGTGGGTTGTGCCGAGGTTTCGGATCGGTCTCCTGGACGAATGAGGCACGTTTGTGTGTTGGTGAACCAAACGTTTGTATACGGTTCTATTTTCTACTCTTCTTGCTTCCTTTGATTTCTCCTCTTTCGGAAAATTCTATCGGGCCCTCCTGTCGACCCTACATTTTATGTAGGTTAGGCAGAATATCTCTTTCAATTAATTTATAGCCATTACAAAACAGGGATGGTAAATCATTTTGATTTATGAGCTTACTTGAAAACCTCAGCGTTATCTACACTAAATATTAACCTATACGACGATATAAAGCTGCCAAGTTCTTCCTTTTTTTCTCTTTCTTTCTTCACCTAGTTCACCTAGTGATAAGAGTTCTGAATATGACGCTAATTATCGTTTGTCTTCTCATCTTGGAGACTTGGGGTAAACTTCAGTAAATCTGACATCCGATCCGACGTAGGTATTTTCTAGGTCATTCGGTCGAAAGCACATTTGAAAATGGCAGAGTGATCGGGGGCTCCTCTGCGCCCGACAAGGCCTACCCTTATCAAATCTCGATATGGCGACAGGGTTGGGGATATTCGAAATATATTTGTGGGGGGTCCATTATCGGCGATCGACATGTACTGACAGCGGCTCATTGTGTTTCGGGGTAAGTGCCCGGATTTTCGCTCTTTTTTTTAAACATGCTTCTAGTGCAGTTGTCCCGAACCTGAGGGTAGTTGCCGGGACTAACAAGTTGAGAGACAGCGAGCAGACCAACTACACCGTTAGTGAGGCCATCGTCCACAAAGATTATGTATCTTTTCTTTACAAAGACGATATAGCCATACTGAAACTGAACGAAACGATTGTATTCAATGACAGAATTCAACCTGTACGACTAACGAAAGTGGCTCCACCTTCAGGTACTAACTGCACGCTGACGGGCTGGGGGTTAACCTCGCGTTCGTCGGCTCGCCTCCCCGATCAATTGCAATACATTAGCCTGAAAACCATTTCTCTCTTCGAATGCAAGCTAAGGTTGCTACTGAGCGGCCTTCTGGTGGGCCGAGAACAAATCTGCACGCGCACGAAAGCAGGGGAAGGCTCGTGCAATGGCGACTCCGGAGGACCGCTCGTGGACACCGCTAGCGGTGCTCAAATCGGGGTGGTTTCGTGGGGACATCCGTGCGCTTTAGGTGTACCGGATGTTTACACCAACGTTTATGAGTATCGAGACTGGATAAGTAAGCATACCGACTTGGGTATCTAAGTGGGGAAACGGTTTCCTAGGCTGTCAAGTCAGCGACCAACTCGTAAATAATAAACTTTATCGTCAAGAAACATTGTTTGGGGTTTTATTTGCCACAGCCACCCCTATAGGGCTCCAAAAGAAGAAAACCACCCCATCAGTTGCCACCAGATAAGTAAGATTCATTTTTGTTGCTAGTACAGGGGAAAGGGAAGCAAGATGGGTATGGAAAACACCCTGCAGACGATGATTCTATTACCATTTGGAGTCATCATCTCTCTCTCTCTCTCTCTCTCCTCTCTCCTCTCTCCTCTCTCTCTCGATTACTATGTTCTCTGCAATACCAACTTCTTAGTCTTCTTGGGCATTATTTTACCCTCTTTTCTCAGCTTGTTCTTGATATTCTTCCTTCTCTTTTTATCATATCTTTTTGCATATTCTTGTATTTTATTTTACTTTCTTGTATCTCCTTGGATTTTCTTATCCCTTTTTGATGATTGCTGTCTCTTCTTATTCTTCAAATTCTAGTGTTTCTTGCCTTTTTCTACCTCGCCATCCTTTTCCTCTGCTTCTTCGTCATCGTCCACTTATCATTTTTTGCTTTTTTTAATTTTTAGAATTTTCTGTCTTCCTTTCCCCATTTCTTTTCCTCACAGATTTCTAGTAAAATTTCCTAGGCACACTTCGAGTAAATGAAATCTTTAGAAGATTAAAATATTTTTGAGTTTAAAATTTCCATCCATTTAGTAACCGTTACGCCATCTGTGTATTTCTCGTGCAAGTTTTTGTTATAGTTACTCTTGTTGGTAGAGTTTTTATGTCATAGTTTCGTATTCTTCCGCTAGAGGTAATGACGATTCACTACTTTACTACTTCTTAACGCTTGCGTGCGCACTTCATGGCCGTCTGATATTTTCACTTTACTTTTTGTGGATTTTGTTCTACAAGTTTTAAGTCCTCTCTACCCATCTCTACTTTCCGTGCTTTACCGTGCTTAAATAAAAGTAATTTTGTTGCGTGTGCCTAAAGCGTATGTAACAAGTCTCTAAAAAGCCCTTCAAGTAGGCACACGAAAAGCTTCACCTTTCCTGATGTAAGGGTGCGTCTTTGTTGATACTTTGTAGATGACGCATTGGGAAGAAACTCGTCATTCCTTTCAAATTTGGTTCTGATTGGAAGTGGTGGATCCTTTAAATACGGGAAGACAACGGAAAAACAAGGGAAACTTGAAACGAGATAGTAAGAGAGATTGAAGGAGATGAGAAACAATGGCTGAGGAGGGAGGGTGATATGAACGAATTGCGCAATGAAAGCATGAAGAATGCACGAATCGGATACGGAAAATTGCGGAGGAGTAAATGCGACGGATGGTGAAAAGTGGGAGATTGCGCAAAAGTAATCTAACTGATACCAGTACATAAATCAACAAATTTAATTAATTCACAAACATCATTATCATACAATAGAACCCTTGATCCGAATTTCGTCATTCCACGATAAAGTGTCCAGTGTCGTTCGTAATGATCGCACGTTTTATTTCTGTGGCAGCCATCTTCGGTAGGTAGCGCCCTTGGATCTCATCCGATTGAGATTTTCCTTGCAGCAGTCGGGTGCGAGGCGAACGGTTTTATCGAACTGCGAATCGTCGGAGGTTCAGATGCGGCCGTCAGGTCGTTCCCGCACCAGGTCTCGGTGCAGATCGCCGACCTCGGTCACGCGTGCAGCGGCTCCATTATTTCCAAGAACTGTATTCTAACAGCGGCTCATTGCACGTACAGGTAAGTGCGCGTCGACCCCGACCCCCCCAACACTTTCGTATTGCTCGCACTAGGATCGATCCCGGTGTCATGACGGTGGTGGCGGGAACTACGAATTTGAGGGTCGGCGGCGCTCGCCACGCGGTGAGCCAGGCGATACCGCACGAAGCGTACGACACCTACCTCAAGACGAACGACTTGGGAGTCTTAAGACTGACGGAAGACTTGGCGTTCAACGATCAGACTCAGCCCGTTTCGTTAAGCGGCGTGCGTCCATCGCCAGGGACGGACTGCACGCTGACAGGTTGGGGTTTCACTTCGAGCTCATCGACAAAGCTCCCCGATAAGCTACAACAAGTCAATCTCGCGACGATATCCGTCGAGAGGTGCAGGAAGGAGCTGCCGTCCAACACGCGACCGATCACCTACAATCAGACCTGCACCCTTGCGCCGGTCGGGAAAGGGGCGTGCGTCAGGGATTCGGGAGGTGCGCTCATTGATAACTCCAACGGAAAACTGGTGGGCGTGGTCTCTTGGGGCTATCCTTGTGCTCTAGGCGAGCCGGACGTGTACTCAACGGTGTACGGATACAGGAGCTGGATTGAGGAGAAGTGTCAGGATTCAAATTATTATTTTATCTCTAAATAAATGATTCATAGACCAAAGCCCTGTTTGATTTTATTAAAGGGTGCATCGCCCAGATGTTCGAGGTTACCGAAGTTCAATATCAAAAATATGAGAAACAACGTCGGAAGAGGGAAGGAAGTAATGTAAAAAGAATGCAAAGTGCAGGAAGTTACAAAAGTCCGCCCTAAGAGGAGTCACAGTTGCACTCCCAGGCACTGCGAACTGTATAAGAATCATTCAGCATGTTATTCCGCGTTTTGGTTTGTACACTCGCCATGACTGGTCTAGTACAATCAAGATAGTACCTGCGCATGCACACACTCACAACTTCAAGCTCAGCCCAATGACGATACTAAAACTACAACCACCGTTCAAAGTCCAAAGGTTGATCACTGTTCAAAGTCCAAAGGTTGTGCGCCGTTTAAAGTCCAAAAGTTCCCTCACCGTTCAAACGTTGCTTACCAAACTGATGATGATCTTGAGGTGTGAGATCAAGGTCAAGTTCTCACCCCTCATTTCGAGGTTCAAATAAAAAAATTCTGGTTTACGGCAGTTGGGAAAATCAGAATCAAAAATCAAAGCGGGAAACCTTTGGACTTTGAACGGTGAACAAACTGTGTGGATTTTGAACGGCGACCAATTCTTTGGACTTTGAACGGTGATTGTTGTTTTAGTCTTGCTTTATCGTTCCATCATGGTTAAGTTAACGTTCTGCATCGATAATTTGTATTTAATTCTTCTTGTTTCACTTCAACTTTAACAATTGCAGACATCGTCCCATACGATAGCTCTACAAGAAAGATTCGTAAACAACAAAATGAAATGAAAATATAACTAAAGGCGGTTTTACGCTTTTATTTCTCGTTTATAGCTGGCTACCGTGAGACTTTTCAGTCTCGAGAGCAACAACGCTTTTTATTTACGTTACGGTCATCTTGGTTTGAGCTATCGTCGAGAGCGCATCTTGTAGTTTGTTGTTTGTATAATTTTTTGTGTAAATGTTTGCTCAATTTATGTTTTGATTACATGGTCTTGGGTTTAATTTACGTACATAATACATACTTAAATCTTTTTGTTCCTGGGGGGTATTTCATACCCCCCGACCACCGGTGTTACATTATCCCTCAAAACGTTCACTCAAGGTCTCCCGTGCTGGTTCTTTATGTGAAAGACCATCGAATCTCCATCTAAGAATATTCCGTAGTTCACAGGATTCTGGAGTTTCTTGCGATTCCAAAAATGATAGTGTATGGGCATTGTACGTTTTGAGGAAGAAAGTAGAACCGGAAGGTCTGGGGGGTATAATACCCCCAAGCCAAGCGTCCGTAAATTTTGACAAGTGAAAATGCTAATTTTAGTTGACACACCTTGTATATAAGGACATAAGGTCCGTCTCGTTATTATATATTAATGTACAGTAATTAGATAAGGTAAAAAATTGACCATCAGGTATTCATTTTTTTTAATGGGACAAAGTGATAAATCAATAACACTGTGTATAAATGAACGCGACAAATTTCTCGTTGCGCGCACGTGAGCCACAGCCAGTCGACTTTCTTTTAGTCAAGTGAAGTGTACGTGTAGTAATTATCGGTCTTTCATCCTCCAGATAAACCAGCCGTTAGTTAATTTGTGAATTACTCTTGCAATAATTGACGTCTCTCTGGTATCGCCTAGGTACAGATATTGGAATTATCTGCGAGTTAAACTCGCATCACAAATACCTGTTAAATATTTTAACTGAAGGATTTGACATAAGGACATAAGGCGTGTTCCCTTACTAATTAGCGTAATTCCAACTGAGCTGTCAGTTTATTTTCAATTTGTTAGGTGAGGTTTTCTGCGCCAAATTTGAAAAAAGGTAGGTTATGTGAATCAATTAAGAAGGGGGTGGGTGTGGTGGTTTCCTGGAAGTGCATAATGTTCTCTAATGTGTTACATATACAGGGTGGTTTGTTTACCACACAAGCAACATTGAGTTCTCTCAATCTTTTACAGTTACTAGAGTGCTGTTGAAATACCAAATGCGTTTGTTTTGGGCAAAATAGTAGTAAATGCCGAATATACAGGGTGTTCCTAGGTGGTTTGCTTTTCTACTATGCATATTGCAAACATTTTTGTATGTACAGGCTGGTCCATAAGTATAGTATGAGACACAACTCTGTTATAGGTTTTGGATTTTGGAAATATATAAAAAAATGTGCAAAAATTGATGGGAAACATGTTGAAAATGTGTAGGAAATAGGCAGGGATTATAGAAATGTTGGAAAAATTTGACAACGTTTCTAGAATATTTGTAGAATTTTCAAAATGCTGCCGACATCTTGAAAATGTTTCATAATCATTGGAAATTTGTGCGAATTTTTGAAAATGTGTCAGAAACGTGTAGAAATTTAAGAAGAAAGAAGGATTTTTTGTAAAATAAAAAAAGGAACAAAATAAATGGAACCTCAATTGATCATAACAGTTCATATACTTCTTTTGTAGCGTTTTATAATGGTCGGATGCTCCGCCGTTGGGTGTACGAATAGAAGTGAGCAGGGATACGTTATGAAGGTGTTCCCCAGGGACCCCGAAAGAAGAAAACAATGGGTCGCGAAAGTTAGAAGGAAGAATTGGACACCTACGAACAGCACATTTCTCTGCGAAGTAAGTACGATTCAATTCGTGTGCACGTCTTTAGTGCCATTTGGATTTTAGACACATTTTGAAAGCGACATGTGGGAAAAAACGAGGGTTGATGGAAAGCGAAAGCTGAGACATAATGCGGTTCCTACGCTTTTCAGTTTTGTCAAACGAAAAATTAAGCGTAAGTCGCGGGTACAAAGACACTTATTGGTAGTTTGGCAGTCAATTACAGCGGATTGCCCCCCGATTCGATTCAGCTCAATGATAAGTTCAAAACAAAATGGCGCATAGGGCCACGCTTTCTTTATAGTCATCAGAGCGCCCCTAGCGGTTACTCTACGATACACGGCCGCAGAAATGTTTGAGAAGCCATAAGTGCTTTCCAAATGGATAGTCTGAGAATGGCGATTTAGATTTTTCATCGAAAACAAAAATTACGAACACCTAATATCATTTTTGTACCTTTAATGCTGTGCACGACAAAATAAGCCACCCTGTATATGTACGAAACATGATGCGGCAGTAGGATTTGTTCGTTCCTAAGGAATCTTGTACTATTCATACACATCAGTAGAAAGCAGGCACTATCCCCTCCACTTTGTGACCTTACAAGGTCGTGGCCTGCGGATTTTGCTGACTAATGATTATTTTTGGCGGATTTAATTGAATTGAATTTTTTGAAATTGGATCAATTAATTAATTCTGGCTCGCGATTTAAAAGGATCGGTAGATGCCATATTGCAAACCTACGTTCCCCCCCCCCCCCTCCGATGGTACATTAGAACTTAAATTAATGAAAGTGTACAAGATTTGTATTTTGAATAAAAGGCGTAACGTAAAATTAAACTACTATCTTCTGTGGCTGAGGGGTTTTCATAACTCCCAGGCCCCCCAGTGAGATGCGCCCCTTATTCAGAATACAACTATAACTGTACACTACCGTTATTTTAAGTTCTAATTTACCACCGGGGGGTCTGGGGGGTAGTAACTCAAAATTAAGCTTTTTTTGGGACTGGGGGGAGGGATTGGCCCCCCCGGTAAGATGAAAACAACACACCCTTTGTTCTTAAACTGGATAATTGTCAATTATGCCCTCTCTTTCACATTCAATTGCGCCCTCTATTGCACTTTCAATTATGCCCCAGGTTTCACCTTCAATTCTGTCCTCTATTTCACCTTCCATGACTCCCTTTATTTCCCTTCAAATCCGCCTCTACCCCACCTCTCTATTTTACCTTTAATTTTGCCCTCTATTTCTCTTTCAATTCTCAACTCCACCTTCCATTATGCCCTACCAATGATGCCCTCGATTTAACCGTCAATTTTTTCCTGTTTCACCCTAAATTTTGTCCTCTATTTAGCCTTCAAAGGTGCTCTCTATTTTACCTTCAATTATTCTCTTTATTTCTCTTCAATTCTGCCTCTACCTCACCTTTAATTCTGCCATCTATTTCGCCTTCAAAGATGCCCTCTATTTTACCTTCAGCGATGCTCTTTTTCACTCTCAATTATTCCCTCTATTTCACCTTTTCTTCTGCCCTCTATTTCATCTTCAATTATTCCCTCTATTTCCCTTCAATGATGCCTCTACCTTACCTTCAATGATGCCCTTTATTTCACTTTCAGTTATGCCCTTTGTTTCACCTTCAATTGCCCTATCTATTTCACTTTAATTATGTCCCCGATTTCACCTTCAATTCTATTTCCTCTTCAATGATGCTCTTTATTTCACTTTCAAAGATGCCCCCTATTTCACCATCAAATGTGCCTCTATTTCACCTGCAATTATGCCCTCAATTCCACCCTCTATTTCATCTTCAATTATTCCCTCTATTTCCCTTCAATTCTGCCTCTACCTTACCTGCAATGATGCCCTTTATTTCACTTTCATTTATGCCCTCTATTTCACCTTCAATTCTGCCCTCTATTTCACTTTCAATTATGCCCTTTGTTTCACCTTCAATTGCGCTATCTATTTCACTTTAATTATGTCCCCGGTTTCACCTTCAATTCTGCCTTCTATTTCCTCTCCAATGATGCCCTTTATTTCCTCTTCAATGATGCCCTTTATTTCACTTTCAAAGATGCCCCTATTTCATCATCAAATGTGCCTCGATTTCACCTGCAATTATGCCCTTATTACACCTTCAATTCTGCCCTCTATTTCAGTTTCAATTTATTATGCCCTCTACTTCTCCTTCAATTCTGCCCGCTATTTCACCTGCAATTATGCCCTCAATTTCATCTTCAATTATTCCCTCTATTTCCCTTCAATTCTGCCTCTACCTCACCTTCAATGATTCCCTCTATTTTACTTTCAATTATGCCCTCTATTTCACTTTCAATTCTCTACTCCACCTTTGATTACGCCCTCTATTTCACCTTCAATTGGGATATCTATTTCACTTTATTTATGTCCCCGGTTTCACCTTCAATTCTGCCTTCTATTTCCTCTTCAATGATGCCCTTTATTTCACTTTCAAAGATGCCCTCTATTTCACCTTCAATTGTGCCTCTACCTCACCTTCAATAATGCTCTCTTTTTCCCCTTCAATGATGCCCTAGCGAGTTTATAATCTTGCGGTGTCTGTCCGTCCGTCCGTCCGTTTAGCACGATAACTCATAAACGAATGGACCGATTACGATGAAATTTTGCAGGTGGATTCTTTATCAAATTTGTAGATCGGAGTTCGTGAATTGGCAATGTAGACAAAAAAAATTAAGTGGGCCCTTTTGACATCTCCGTTAGTTATGAACCGAATCGCATGAAATTCAATATGCGCATAGCTTTAGCCACATAAGACACAATTCCAAAAGTTGAGCCTAATCGATCAGCATTCACAGTGCCCATTGTGCTTCTCGACCATTTCCAGACCGAATTGCAAACTTTCTTGTTTATGAAGGTATATTTAAATGAAATTTGATACATGGCGACTAGGAATAAAAGCAAATTTGACGCCAGTTTCAAAATTTGGTTTTGCGCATGTGCAGTGTCAACTTTGGGTCCGTTAACTTGGCCCCCCCACTGAGAGATTTCATAGTCGTATTATTTTGAAATGAATGCGCTCGTTATGCGCTCATATGCGCCACCGATAATAACTCTTGCGCCATTATCGTTTTTTAGAAATCCGAAAAAACATTTGGGGGGGGGGCAAGTGAACGTAGCCCCCCATTTGGTTATGCGCTCAATTGCGCCACTTGAATTAAAGCTAGCGCCATTACGGTTAAGCCGTGACAAATTTTCAAAAAGTGGGGGGGCCAACTTAACGTTTTTAAAAGTTACTTTTTTTTAACATCTTTTCATACGAAATTGTACTCTCAGGTATGCGCTGAAATGCGCCGTAAAAAGATATCTTTGCGCCATTATTGTTTTTTGGATATCCTTAAATATATTGGGGGGGGGCAAGTGAACGGAATCCCCCATAACGCATTTTGCTACCGGTATTTGTGCCACTTGATACATCTGGTTATGAGCTCAATTGCGCCACTTGAATTAAAGCTAGCGCCATTACGGTTAAGCCATAAAAAATTTTTATGGCCCCTTTATGTACTTACTGAATTCAATCACTTGTACCTTTAATGTGTAACCTTTGTTGGTATTGGCCATCATGTTTCATTGTCGGTAGGGCTGTATCTATGCTGTACATACTTGCATGTGTACATATTTAATTTGTGTATTGTGCTTTTTAGTCACTCTCGATTATTTCGTTGCATTTCATTATATTTGCTTATTTGGGACTGTGAGTCATCAAGAGGGAAGTGTGCTTGTTTAGAGGGGATCGAGCTATTCGAGTTTATACGGCCTTGGTGAACCTAACACTAACATTTTCACTCGTTCCGAACCCAACAACTTTAGCCCAGGTTTACAGGGACCCCACTGGGCCTGGGTACTCCTCCCGCCCGGCGAGGTATATTTGACATTTCTTAGTTTTGTCCGATGTATGTGTTGTAATACCTGGGGAATGGCTCGATCCCATTTTGGTTACTCATAGCGTGTTTGTAGTAGTTACCCCGGTTTCCAGAGGGCTCAAAAGTGCTGTACTTTGGATGTTGTTCATTATAGGACTACTCCGAATTAGGTTTACCTGCAGTTTTCCTAATTCGTAAGGTAAATGCCGGAGGAGTATAGAACCACTTAAGACCCTCTGCAGGGGCACCGTTTTGGTATTAGCTGCAATATAAACTTAATCAACTATTGCTTTTGGTGTTCCTTACCCATAAAACGCCCTCAGTACCTGCTGAGAACCCAGTTATTACACAACGTAGGTGTCCTACATGACGATTACGATCTTAGTGCACTCGGAGTGGCCCTAGAGTGACGGATTCTCGCGGGAAACTTAAGCGAGAGTATTCAAATAGGCAGCCATGTTAGTTTGCCATTCCCAATACTACAGAACATGGTCAAATATTCCGGTGTGACTTGAAGTTAGTGTTAGCCCGCCAAGATAGTAGGAGGCTAGGATCATCACAATAATAATCCAATTCACCTTTACTATTTACTTGCTTAACTAAAAAGACATCTCTCGTATATCTATGGTAATTTTCGGACACACAATGGAAAACAAACTGTGGATTTAGCTAAGTAAAAAAAACAGGTTAGGTAAGGGAACACGCTCATAATTGTAGGGAACTATTCAATTTTTTTTAATGCAGAGAATTCCTATGCGATACTCAAACTTCGATGTTTTTTCGTTTTTAGTCCATTTCCGCGTTACGCTCGCGGCCCTTTCATTTGACAATGGCCGATTTGAGTTTCAATTCGAAACGCGAGCGCATGCAAAATTTCAAAAACGAAGAGGTGCGCCTGCTCGTCGACCTGATCGTACAAAATTGGAACATAATCGAGAACAAAACGTCCGACGCCGTCACGTGGAAACAGAAAAACGAAACCTGGGAGCAGATTACGACTAAGTTCAACGCGAGACGAATTTTGGTGACGAGAGATAAAACTAACCTTAAGGCCAAATACGAGGCGATTAAAAAGCTGCTGAAAAAGAAAGTGTGTAGCGACGACGAAGAGGTAAAGAACGATCTGAAGGACTGGGAAAAGCGGCTTTTGCGAATGTTAAATTTAAGCGCGTGCGGAGTAGCTACCACATTTGATGGTGATACACCCCAAAGTATGATAACATCGCTTGTCAAAAGGGCATAATTTTCTTTTGTTATAGCACCACCCGCAACTGCGCCCAATGACGACTTGAACGAGAACCTGAGTAACTTCATTGCCAAATTGGAGGTGGAGAGTGTGAACATCAGCCCCGAACACAAGCCAGGTAACTTAGCTAACCGTGGCCAATAATCGATCGTCTTTTCCAGAGATCGCCGTAGAAATCCACGAGTTACCAAGTAAGTGTGATCACGTGAAACCTTTTTCTTGAAGTTTGCGTCTACAGCCGTCCCAAAAATACACAGCTACGCCGAAAATGGCACGTGGAATCATTGGGCCGTGACGCGAAACAAGAAAAATTCGCCCTTGCGGAAGAAACGAATGCAAAAGCCGTACAGCACGGAGAGCATCAACAAGAAATATACGGATTTGGTCGACGAACGGAACGAGCTCGTGAAGTTGCAGGTTGCGGTGGCCCGAAGGGAGTTGGACATCCTGAACAACGAGGAGGCTCACAAAGAGGAGATGAGGAAATTAGAACGGCAGAGGCTATTGAAACGAATTGAGTTTGACGCGGAGGAGCACAAATTAAGGGTTGATCTTTTAAAAAAACAAACTAGTATCTAAGTAGCTTTGTATTACGTTGAGAAATATTCAATTAGTTGTCTTTGTACTTGTGTACTATTACCGAGCAGTATTACATCATTTTCGATTTCCTCACGATGAACATCGACATCGGGGGGCATATCCTCGCCGGCGTCCCTTGATAGGTTATGTAAAATCGCGGTGGCCATTATTACCGATTGCACTAGTGGGATTTTGCAGCGCATCCCTATCGAGAGGATGGGAAATCGCCCCGTCCAAAGTTCGAGGGTTCGCTCGATCACGTTACGGGTACGCATTTGCGACTCGTTAAACCGATCCTCCGCTCGGTTTTGGGGTTCGTGTAACGGGGTGATTAGGTAATCGCGGCAGGCGTAGCCGCTGTCGCCCAGTAGCAAGGCGTCGGCCATTTCCTGATTTTCGAAGCGAGCTCGTATACGAGAGCTGTCGAAAATGTTATCGTCGTGCGTCGCGCCCGGCCAATGCGGTTCGACGTCGGCGAACTTTAGTGCGGCGTCGCAAACGCATTGAACGTTCATCGAGAACGATCCTTTCTGATTTTTGAAATGTTCCGCTTGGGTTCCTCCTACAAAAAGAGGAATTAACATACAGTACGAATCTGAATAGAAGGACAAAGCCGTGCTTTTTCACGCGAGCCATTGTTACAAATTGATTTTCATGCCTTAATCTACACTACCTAGACAGACAAACGCGACTGAGCCCTTAATTTTCGAAAGAGCGATAAATGACAGTACTCGGGACCGAAAGTCCACGGGAAGTTTCGTAAGTACACGCCATCTGCAAATTACCCTAGCGCATCTGGTGTTAATCTGAAATCAAGAAATCCTTAGCATGCCTCGTATGTGACTATTTCGCCTGGCCCCGTATCTATTCTCATTTCTTATAGGCGGCAAATCGAACAACATTCGAAGAGTCATCAATGAACATGACTGTTAAAAAGCACCATGTCATTTCATCCCTAATACCTAAAAGTAGACAAAGGGAAAAACAATCACGTAAATCCCCGTCTACTTCTTAATAAATAGCACTGTATATCTATATACATCATTCTATCATTATTGCGTCCATACATTTACCAATTACGCACATTATTGCGTCCGAATATCGGACGCAATAAAGGCATCGCCTGTATTTCCATGTTCCCGCCATTTTATCATTCAAATACTATCAACGAAGGATGCACCGGTTTAACAGATTCCTATAGCACAAACCAGTTTTGAGACATCTCTTGCCGTTTTCGAGATATTAAAAGATAACAAATTTTTAGTGGACGCAGTCCGTACGAAGTTGTATCTTTTTAGTTCAGCACTTTGCAGCTAGGGGCGGTAAATTAGTATACGCTTTCAAGTATACGTTTTACAAAGTTGGTATATTATTGCGTCCAACATGTGGCAACACTGTAAGCTATTTATAGACATCATTTCGATAAGATAATCATCTTTTTATATCTTAAATGAGGATAATTATTATACTCTCCATTCGGAAAGTACATTGTTGCGTCCAGATACGTTTAATTATAATGGAGCTGATCTCCGAAAATGTAACAATTCAAAAAATTCTATTCTTTAAAATGGTTTAACCTAAAAGATTGTATTTGGTTATCAACAAATTAAATTTCGCTTTTGAATATTTTTGGTTGATGGTTAACAGCTGACCCCCCTTTAATGGCTGTAAATATTAACTTGGCGGGGTTCAATTGAAACGTGACGTCTCTTATACTATTCCCACCATTTAAAAACAAATTTTAATACAAGCGTACACTTTAATTTTTTGCATTATTCCGTAACCCAGAGCTGATCTGCGAAAATCTAAAAATTCAAAAGATTTTATTCAATAAAATTGTTTTATTTGTAGATAAGGTAAAAGTAAGTAATTGTAGTAATAAATGAATGTTTTCTTATACGTGATCGATTTCGCTTTTATTTAGAATTTTCGGACCTTTATTAATTGACGCTAAGGTCCGAATATGCTAAATAAAAGCGAAATCGATCACCAATAACTTATAAGAAAACATTCATTTATTTATAATTATTTACTTTTACCTTACAAATTCAATACAAGTAAATTACAATAGAGACATACGTCGACAAAAACCAAAATCAAAATTTTATACTAAGTTCCACACCTTTACAAGGAAAAGCAATTGGACTCGTATAATTAAATTAATTCCTGCCGGATCAACGTCCTCTTGAATATGTGATTAGACGAGGAATGACTGTGCATTAACATTGGCAACATTGCAGGACGCAATAATATACGGCGAAATCCATATACGGGCGCGACAATGGCGCATATGAAAGGACGCACGAATGATTCAATATGACTGAAAATTCGTATATCGAAATACTGGGAATTTTTTTAATCTGGTTACGATTCTAGCCACGACATACGATTCCAAACCAACATTCGCGGCAATAGTTTAAGAATTCCTATCCGTTCTAGGAGACGCAATAAAGTACAAATACGTACGGACGCAATAATGATATATATATATCTATATATATAAAATGCCTTTTAAATACAATGCTTTGGTCTGAACCCACGTCCTTCTACTCAGATTTCGACTCAACAGAAGGTACAAGTTTACCTGGTGATTGTATTTGTACGTGGGTGCAGTCGATTGCCCCTATAACTTTTGGAAATTGAGCAATTTTAAAAAATTCGTCCATAAGACTACTCCGTTCCGCTACAGTGGACGGTAGTTTGATGTACTCGGGCCGTAATGCGCAAATTGCGTTCGTAACTTTCTCAATTATTCTACATGCGGCCGCCTTACTTATGCCGGCGAAGTCCGCAACGGTCACGTACATTGATCCGCTGGCGTAGTACCGTAAAGTGACCAACAGTTGAGTAATCGGTGTAATATTGCTATTTCTACAATTTCTGCGATTAGTAACTAAACGTAAATGGTGCAATTTGAGAACCTAGTGATTTTAGATAGTAATTGATCATTGATTTTCCCCAACAGTAGCAGTACGGTGTGCTTTTTTAAACGAAACCTTCGAAAGAAATCAAAATCGTCAAGGATTTCTAAATAATTGGGCCGTTCGCGTATTGTGTATTGACGACGGATTCCGTTTACAATTCGCACTTCTTCTAATTCTAAGATTTCGTCAATGAAATGTTCCATTTTACTAGTTTAAAAAACACGTGAACCTAACCTATAATGCCAAAGGCACATCTCTTTTCGGATAGTACAACTATGTATAGTCTGTCTCTATTGCGTTTGTGTACCCCTTGAAGTAGGCAACGAATGCAATTTCCTAGAGTGGTTGCGTACGATGCTATGATATACAGGGTGGTTGTAAGAGTCAGGACGTCTAAGACGATCCTAGAAATATTCTTAGTGTATCTGTATGTTTAAGATATTTTAGATAGATAGACCGGACGCATTTGAAATCCTTAACAGCCTGGTGGATCAATAGAGCCTTTTAAAAGCAGATCTGTCATTGGTGGCATAGTCGCACTGTTCACATTTTAAGCCCTTGAAAGCCTTGTGCATAAAGAAATGTCTTCCCAGGTGACACTTTCTGTACGCTTCGTAATTACACTGGACACATTAAAAATCTCTACAACTCCTGTGTTTCAACAGGTGTGTTTTTACATTTTATTTTCTATGGGTTGCATAGTCACACTGGTCACATTTTAAATCTTTGGACGACTTGTGTATCAGACAATGCGTCTTTAAATACAGTTTCTCTTTGGTGGCATATTCACACTGGGCACATTTAAAATTTTGTAAAATTCCTGATAGCTTAGTAGACTGTCCCTGAACATTGGTAGTAGTCTCATAAGGTTCCAGCTTTACTGTTGCAAAGGCATCATTGGTAAGAGAGACCTTTTCATCAAAAAAAGTTAAGGGATCTCTTCTACCTCTTCTTTAGGTTCAATATTAATTACTGTAGTCCATGATAAAGTTTTAGACAAAGTCCCAGATAAACTTACATGATAAAACCCTGAATAGAGTTTCAGATAATATCCCAGATACTGTAAGAGACACAGTTCTAGATAAAATTCCAGACAGTCTGAGATATGGTTCAAGGTAAATCGATAGATACAGTGCTAGAACAGGTTCCAAATAAACTTCCAGAACACTCTGCCGCGGTTGATGTCCCGATAAGGGCCAGATAAAGTTTCTGATAACCATAGACAAAGTATGGAATGCCCCAATTGTAAGATCTTGCGATCGTTGTAGGGAAATAAGCACTAATTCATACTGTTCTGGGTGAGGGGGGAGGGGGTATTCCATCATTGAGGGGTCTGGGGATTATGGAAGTGTAAGATCTTGCGTTAGTTGTAGGGAAAGGAGCACTAATTCGAGTAGATATAATCGAACCTGGACCGTTCAAGGTTGGTGGTGACCTTGGAAAGTAGGTCAAGGTGTTGTGCAACTTAGCAGTGCCCTTGGAAATTTTACGTGTAATTTGGCACCACAAAATGGGACCATTGACCTTGGATGACCTCATGAATGTAATTGACCACCACAAACAATGACGTCGCATTGAACTACTATGACCTTTAAATTAACGTAATTTGACATCACATGGACTCATTGTCCTCGGATGACCTTGAGAGTGAGACTACATAAAAACATGGTCATTGACCTCCACGTGGCACGCGACTTTCACCTTGACCGGTCACCACCCATGTGACACTCAAATTTCATCTTATTATATAATATATATAATTTTACAAGGTCACCGCCAAGTGCACGCCACCTTGCCCTACTTTCCAAGGTCACCACTAGGTGGCGGACGACCTTGAACGGTTCAGGTTCGGTATAGTATGTCTACTAATTCTAATACCCCCAGGTTCTATACCCTTCCTCATGAGTCATGACGCAAGGAGCAGAAAATCCCATTGTCCTTTACGAGAATATTGCACAAGACCCCTTAGGGCTGAACGTTTTCATGGAGAATGTAGCACCGGGGAGCCTGGGGGTTATGGAATACCTCCCAATGTACGTTTTTGCGTTATTTCTAGGGAAAGAAGTACTAATTCGTGCTGTCCCGGGGGGTATTCCTCTGAGTTACGTAGAGGTACGCCACTGTAAATAATTTAAAGCTTGCAGATTGACTTAAAACGTGGATGTAACCTGAAAGTTAACCACCGATATGAAGCACTTCAAAGTTAGAGGCCGGAAGTTAGCCACAGTTTTTATTAAATTAATGAAGCACAAATGTCGTGTTGTAGCGGATTCTTTAACGCTTCACTGGTATTCATTTGTGCTTCACGCACGAACCCAGCTATTTCTTATTTATCGCTCGCATCAATGATTCAAAATCAGGATGCTGTAAAAACTCTACAGGGTAATTCGAAATTACTGTCTTTGAGGTTATATATAGCCCGAACCGTAGGCGTGACTGGGTTCCTGTGTAAAGCACAAATGAATCTACCAAAGCACTAAGGATTCTTCCCAATCACGACGTTTGTGCTTCAATAACAAGAAATGCTGTGGCTAAAATTCCACTTTCTGACTTTGAGGCTGTCTATCCAGGGAATCGTAGATATGGCGGGGTTCCTGTGGAAAGAACAAATGAATACTAGCGCGGCCCTAAGGATTCTGTTAAATCATTTCTAAAAAAGCTGTGGCTAACTTCCCCCTTTGACTTGGCAGAGGTACGCCACTGGGCACAATTATAAAGTATGCAGATTGGTTTTCAAAATTTTGGAAGTGTTTCTGACAGAATTATCACTCTGTATATAATACTTCCAGCGCATGCGTTGTTGGTGGGAGTCACGTTTACTTTTATATGCTCTTAATTTTTTCCCGTTATGCGCAAGTATCGTCGATTAGATAATTTCCATAATAGGCAGTTTCTCGTACAATGATAGTGCCATAAACGGTCTTGTTTTTAATTTTTTTCCCAAATTTCGGATTTTTTCGTTTTTAAGCCACGTAAGTACGCAATTAACTTGAATGTTCAATCGATTATTTAAATTAGCCAGTGGCGTACGCCCAAATTCAAATTTAAAATGGATCAGTAAAAAAGTCCTTATCAGCAACACTTTGGAACTTACGTAAACGCTTAGTCTGCCGTAGGATGTCGAAGTTCAACTCCCCATTCCGAAGGCCGTGGATGGCGGAGCAGGGGGCGGCGGCTGCCCCCGCCGGTAACACAGGAGTGAAGGGGATCATCGCCGGCGGCATCACGGGCGGCATCGAGATATGCATAACGTTCCCGACCGAGTACGTCAAGACCCAGCTGCAGCTCGACGAGAAGGGCGGCCAGAAGCAGTACGCCGGCATATGGGACTGCTGCAAGAAAACGGTGAAGGGTCACGGATTTTTCGGGCTCTATCGCGGACTGAGCGTCCTGCTGTACGGATCGATTCCGAAGAGCGCGGTGAGGTAAGGACGGCCGTCTCGTTTTAATGGGCACGTCAGTTCGCAGGTTTGGGGCCTTCGAGGCGTTTAAGAACCGCATGAAGGACGACAAGGGAAATCTGTCGCCGGTCGGGCGGCTGCTGTGCGGTCTCGGGGCCGGTGTAGCCGAAGCAATATTCGCCGTAACTCCCATGGAGACGGTCAAAGTGAAGTTCATCAACGACCAGCGGAGCGCACAGCCCCGATTCAAGGGCTTCTTTCACGGGGTGGGGATGATAGTTAAAGAGCAGGGGATCGGAGGCGTCTACAAAGGTCTCACTGCCACGATCATCAAGCAGGGCTCGAATCAGGCCATTCGTTTCTTCGTCATGGAAACTCTCAAGGACAAATACCGAGGGGGGGACCCTAAGAAGACGGTCCCTAAACTCGTGGTGGGCGCTTTCGGTGCCGTTGCAGGTGAGCACACTCGACCGGTACCCCTCGATTGACCTTATCCCCTTGCAGGTGCCGCGTCAGTTTTCGGTAACACCCCTGTGGACGTGGTAAAAACACGCATGCAGGGGCTGGAGGCCCACAAGTACAAGAATACTCTCGACTGTGCCATGCAAATCTGGAAAAACGAGGGGCCCGCCGCATTTTACAAGGGAACAGTACCGCGGTTGAGCCGGGTCTGTCTAGATGTCGCTATCACTTTCATGATATACGACAGTTTCATGGAGGTTTTTAATAAAGTATGGCCTTAGGTTTTTAGATATAATCGGTGACTGATATAGCTATAAGTAATTGAAGTAAATGTGAAATGTTTATTGTTAAAGATGTTGTAGCATTTTTTATTTTTGTTAAAACGAAAATCCTTTATGCTTTTTTCGTATCAGTTTTATTGCCGTCCTTATCTTAATGGCCCTAAGTTGATGGCGCAAAAACCTTGAATATGATTAATCCTGCAAATTGAACTAATTCTCCTTGATCTTTGTACTATACAGGGTGAACCCTCAAAACAAGATTTAAAAAACTTATCCAAATTTCTAAAAAAGTAACAGGTGGCAACATGTCTACGTCATACTGGCAGGCGTTTATGACAGTCAGGGCAACACAAATGTCACCCACCAATTTTTCTTGTGCATTGTGCCTGTAATAATGTCTAAAGTGAGAGGTTCCACCCTGTATATACAACTTACGAAGATGCACATATTTTTGAGAGTTGGCAACCACGCAATTTTTAGGAGGGGAAAGCGATTTGCGCCATCTAGAGAGTACGAACGTTGGCGACGTTTGGCATGTTGTCTTGAATGGCGGCCGCGAACGCGTCGCTCCATAAATGTGAGATGCCCCACCCTTAGCAATGTCCTGTGAATATGATTGTCGATACGAAGCACCCTATACATCGTGTTAGTTACACAAGCTGCCAACCGAAATCTGGTGGGATTACAGAAAAAGTTTGTTGGTATTGGCAATCATGTTTCATTGTCGGTAGGGCTGTATCTGTGCCGTACATACTTGCATGTGTACATATTTAATTTGTGTATTGTGCTTTTTAGTCACTCTCGATTATTTCATTGCATTTCATTATATTTGCTTATTTGGGACTGTGAGTAATCAAGAGGGAAGTGTGCTTGTTTAGAGGGGATCGAGCTATTCGCAAGTTTATACGGCCTTGGTGAACCTAACACTAACATTTTCACTCGTTCCGAACCCAACAACTTTACCCCAGGACTACAGGGTCTCCACTGGTCCTGGGTAATCCTCCCGCCCGGCGAGGTATATTTGACATCTCTTAGTTTTGTCCGATGTATGTGTTGTAATACCTGGGGAATGGCTCGATCCCATTTTGGTTACTCATAGCGTGTTTGTAGTAGTTACCCCGGTTTCGAGAGGGCTCAAAAGTG